GCGACCTGTAGCAAATGAGGGAGAGAGGATCTGGGGAGGTTAGACTACAACAGCGCTGGGGGTTTGAGTGAGACAACATGGGGCCTTGAAGAGGGAGTGCAGACAGCGATGGCATCAGAGGAGAAAGAGAAGAGTTGGAAAACATAAGGGAAATTCTGAGGCGCTGCAGATGGCCAAGCCACGTGTTTACCATCCAGTGGATTTTCACTTAAAAAGCTTTACCGACAGATGGATTCCCCAGACATTCCACTCACAATCCACATGAAGGTCCTCCATACACACAGCAGGTAACACTGCTGTTAATACTGATAGCTGCAACATTGTATGGCTTCAATTCCTAGCTTAAAATATATGATAAAAATATATATTTACATTTATGTTACCTCCTCTATTAATGACATGTTTGCTGCATACCAACAATATGGTGACACAACTTTACAAACACAATAGTAATGCTATGTCAGGTTGAAGATGACAGAGGTGGAAGGAGTACTCAATTCTTACACTTAAGTAATATTGGTTTTGCTGTGTGCTTTTATTTTGAAATTTCAGTATTTGGGGGCGCTGCATCCTTTAAAGGCTGACCTTCGGTGTTAAGTTCTCAGTGGATAATTGGCAAAGAGTCAGCCATCTTGTACACAACTCTGAAGAAGGACCTGTTCACATTTCTTTGGTTGCTTGAGCAACTATAGTTGACTGGTGAAGTTGCATCAACTCTCTCTTTACTCCTCTGACCTCGAGGCACATTGGAGACCTGAGGTTTGTTCCTCTGAACACCTGGTTGCATTCCAAAAAGGTAAAACAGTCAATTCATTTTTCAGTGGGCACAACTTCCTGTCCTGTTTTTAGTTGATAAGTAATTAATGCAAAATAAAAGCCCACATCTCAAAAAAATGTCTTGAGATAATGTAAACTCATTTTATTGTATTATTTAGCTTTATTATCTCTGATTAAAATGCACACAAGCTAAAAGTGGCAGAAGTATCTCCACATCAAAGTACTATTGTACATTTCAATTGTATGCAACTTCTATTCCACTAACTTTTAGATGGAAATATTGTACTTTTTACTCCAATACATTTATCTAAAAGCTGGAGCTACTTTACAAAGTAAGATTTTACAATCAAAACATGATCAATTTAGATAGTGTGCTGTAGGTTAAACTATCCAACAGTATATAGTGAAGAATTTGTTCCACCTCCACCAGCTATAACATCAAAATGCTGCTTGTATTTTAAAGCATCAGTAATATTATTCCAATAATATGATATATGACGACTCTCTGAAAGAGACCAGTCTGCCCAACAAGTATTGCTACTTTAATACTTTAAGTATGTTTTGCTGTTAATACAGTTGTACTTTTACTGAAGTAAAATGTGAGTACTTCCTCCACCACTGCTGGTCCCTATATTAAGTAATTAATACCACATGTAAGTTTGTCATCGGAGATATTAAATGCCTCTCGTCAGCTTGGAGAGTGTAACTTAAGATGTCACATATGTGGTTGTGACACCTTGGGAGGAGTGTACAGTGAGAAGATGTTATTCCTGCTTACTGTTGACTTGTCTGCCCTGCATTCATGAGGATTTGTGATGTGGATTTCAATTTGTTGTCACTTATATTATCAGTTGTTCAATAAATTATATACCAAAAATAACTCCTTGTTTAGGTTAATTGAGCTGACCAAACACTAACTTATATCGTGACTTTTTAAACTAATCTCCCACAGACATTAAATTATTAAAGCATTTATTAAATCACCCACGCCAACTCACACTTTATCAGATCCAGCTTGTTTGTTGTTGTATCTAGACAACCCTCAAACACTCAGTCATGTGTTGGACTTCCATGTTGGTGCCAGATGTGGTCTCCAGGACATTTGTAGCATAAAATAACTCTGAAACTAAAGTCAACAAAATCACATGTCCTTTACGTCTGAAACAGTCAGCCAGGTTCTGGGCTCAGACCTGCAGCCAGTGTGTCACTGAACAAATGTTTTAATGCTTTTTATCGGATTAGTCCACTCAAAGAGCAGCAGGCCGGTCGATGGTCCACTCGGACTGATGGGTAATAGCATTATCCTGTGTGGGCCTGTGGATTGGCAGACAGCAGCGGACAGAGCTATCCTACCATTGATCGACTCTCTCCTCCAGGGCCACTCTGATGCTAGCTTCCATCCAGTCTTTCATTTGTTTATGAAATATTGATATTGGCTTTCTATCTCCTCCTTGAAGATGAGGAGATTCAGCTTGATGGAAAGGACAGCGTTTAGAGATGCTGGAAAAAGGTTTTGTGAACTGAAAATAGTTTTTTCTTTTTTTCTTGATGGGATGTAAGTTTATCATTTCCAGAATTACATCATGGAGGCTTTTGCTTTTTGTGCAAACACAAACATTTTTACCTGCTTCCAATACATTTTCTGGTAAATGTTAAAAAGTCAGTGATCAACAGTATGACACTGTGACCTTTTGCACTTTAATTGCATAGAAGCTCCAAAGTAAAAGTCAATCTTAACTCTAAATGAATGAAGAAAAACATGAAATAGCCCAAAAAGCAATGCAGACTTGCATGTTTCTAATTCATCTTCTTGCTTTAAAATGATTAAACATGTAGGGTAATTCTACAAATGTCAATCAATAAGGCCCATCGCAACAGGCTGACTGATCATTTCTTAAATTGGTTTTGTTAAAAACTTGATTGCCTTGAGATCTGAATGTTGATAGCGCCCTCTGTCTGCAAACCACCTCTGGTACCGCTCCCTCATCAGATCTCACTCTGTCATCCAGAAAACCTCACCGTAACCTTCCTTTAACCACAAAACAAGCTAACTCTGGCTCCCGGCCACATGATGGATGCAGTCGATCTTGTCAGTAAACGGATGCTTTAGTCTTCCCATATTGACAGTCAGGATTGACGTGCTCCCACAGCCAAAGCCTTTTATGCAGGGGAAGAGCCTCTTTGATCGATAGTGTAGGCAAAGCCCACACAACCACTAATGAATCCTGTGGCTTACAGAACAGGCCGCCGCTGCTCTTTATGTCCACACAGGAGAAAAACCTCAGAAATACTTCAAGCTCCTGGTAATAATGTAGAAATTCGCATCCAAATGCATCCACCACATTGGATTAAAAGATGCAAATTAAGAGATTAGGATGAACTTCATTTAAATAAACCGTGCATGTAGGCTATCATAGCAGGTGAACAGGCCTATTGTTTTGACATCAGCAAGTTTCCAGTTTTGTTTGTCGTGTTGCAACATTTCAGTGGTCTGTTCTCTCGGACTGGTTCAGTGGTGTGTTTGAAAACTGAGCTTGTTGTCTGGCACACCCGTCTCGCTGTCTGCTCCATATTATCTGTTTTTTCAGCGTAGGGTTTAGGAACTGATAAATCAAAGTGTGTTAGTCACCTGTCTGGGATTTCTAATTATGAAAAGGCTTTGTGCCAACGAGGTAGCAGGTGCAGTGTTGTGTGTTGCAGTCCAGACAGTGGACAGTATTTAGACAGTGACGCATTTTCCTTTGTTTGGGTTTTGTACTCTAACGTATTTAATTTAGAATGAAATAACGATGAGAGTCAAAAGCTGAGTTTTAGAATTTAACTTTTTTAGGATGTTCCATACCACTATGTATGCAGAGCTGGAGTCAGGAAATGATTAGTTTAGCTTAGCATAAAGACAGCAAGCAGTGGACAACAGCTAGCCTGGCTCCATGCAGAGCTAAAAAACACACCTACCAACACTGCTGAAGCTCACTAATTAAAGGAATAGTTTGACATGTTTGGCAATACGCTTCTTTGCTTCCATATTGAGAGTTAGAGAGCTGATGAGAAGGTTGATAACACGCTCATGTCAACATCAGGGTTAGCTTAGCTTAGCATAAGACTGTAAATCCGTTGAAAGGTGATACAATGTTTCAACCAACATTTCTTATTATTTAACACCTCGTTTTTTTTTTTTAGATTTAGTTGTTTTTCACTTCGTTGTTTTTGTACAAAATAAACAAACTAGATGCATCATGTAAATACAGTGAGCTTTAGACGTGCTCGTAGGCATTATTTTGAACCAGAGCCAGTCTTTCATTCAAAATCAAATGAATTATTTTGGCCTAAAATTGGTTATATGCCTAAATTGTATCCACATAACAACCTCATGCTGCCACCAGGAGCTATTTTCCACTGCTGACACAGAAACCTCCGATGGTTCAACACAGTGCACTTCCTCCTGCACTGCGCTGTATAGAACAGGCAGCACTTGATGGATTCTGACAGGCTGGATTTACGAGCAGCTAAAGACCCTCCAGATCCACTGAGATATGAAATGATTGCCGTCTCTACCCGCTCTGCACCTACACCAGGCAGGCATTATGACTGATACCATCCTGCTGAGCCGAGCACTTTGCAGCTCGTCTGCAGGATATTAGCTCAGCCAAAGGTTATTCATAGACTATCAAACCAGAGCTGCGGTCAGGAAATGCTGACTTATGTGTAAAATATCAATTGAATTAGTCAGTGTGCCTGTTGCTGAGGGTGCACTGCCTTGTTTTAATGGGCACAGACACTAACAGTGATGCGTAAATCACATTTGTACAAGAAAAGCGAGGCATATATTAGATTATACTTGTTTACACATCCATTAACTGTTTGTATTTGGTCAATAATTGTCACAAAGCATAACAAGTCTGCTGAACATTGATCATGCACTGACTTTATTCAGAGTATTTAGTTTGAACATAGAAGTTGATGTGGTTTAAGTAATAATACATGACATTTTGATATGATTAAACGCCCATTTATGTCATTGATCGGTATAACACAGTGGATTTCAACCTACACAGTTCATAACAGTAGTATATGTTGTAATAGGTTTCTATAATCTATGGATGCACAGGGAGCGAAGTTATTTTACACTTCTGGCAAAAAAAAAAATCACAGTGGTTTGTTTTTAAATACGCAAAACAAACAAGTGTTTAGTGTGAGCGGAATATCACAAAAGGCAAAGAAAAATCATATATAATCGGTAAAAAAAATCTTCACATAAGGCTGGGAAGTGCAAAACAAAACAGCAAAAAAATAAAACGCTCCGATGAAGAATCTTGCAGACGAAATCCCTTCTCATCCATTCTATAAACATAGGCACAGCACTGGTGAGCAGTGAGGTTTGGTTGTTTTGGTTCGAGGGGTTTAAATGCGTTTAAAACACAAGGCACATTGTTGCCTCTCCAGTGCCAAACTCCAAGCCTCTTGTCTTTTCACGTCTGAAAAAGTAACCTCTGCCCCTCTGTCAGAGTTATGTAGGCCAGCCTGCTGAGCAAAGACAAAATGGGAGCACAGCTCAGTAGATGCAGCCTCAGCAAAACCATCTCTTTAGAGCTGTAGGTGCAGAAGCTATTTCTCATGGGAGACTGGATTATTACTGTATGCAGCCGCGGTAAAAGCATAGACACTTCACATTATTATAGACAGTACAGTGTTAGTGTAAAAGGGCCTGGTTAGTTTCTCATAAATTACAAACAAATGCAAAGCGCCACAGTTAGTTGATATTTAAAAAGCTACAACATAAAATAAATTTGCATCACAATTTAAATATCTTCACTTTAGAGAAAATTGACAACCCGGAAAGCTAATAAAAGTGCATTTGTGATTTAGTTATTTTAACAAACAATCTGAAATACTTTGTTTGTGATAGGGTTTGAGATTTTTCTCTCCTGAGACAATTTAAAGTCTTTAGACCTCACATGGATCTGATGGGAGTCATTGTTGTGTTGTAACATGCAGATAACTACACACAGTGATGGAAGTAATGAAGTAGATTTTATCAAGCACTGTAATGTACTACTTGTACTTTACTTGAGTATTTCCATTTTAAGCTATTTTATATTTCTACAACATTTCAGAGGATAATATTGTACTTTTCAGTCCACTACATTGATCTGACAGTTATATACAGTATATCTTCAGATAAAGACTTTAAATTAAGAAACATATGATATGCCTGTAAAATACAATGAATTGTTTAAGATTAAACCCGTGGTTATCCACCTTTTTGGCTTGTGACCCGATGCAGGAAAGCAGTGTCTAGTTTGGTCCCTTTGTCTTGTTTTAGATGTGTGTCAGTTGTTCAACCAGTTCAACCAAAGAGACTTCTCAGATGGTTTCATTAAAATAAATCGTTGCACTGGTAGTTTTACTAAAGTAAAAGGATCAGGATACTTCTTCCACCACTGTACTGTACATTACTTTTTAACTATCTATGAAAAATCTATGACTTACAATGTAGGAAGTTACATAATCTCACCTCAAAAAATGGAGTAGCTCATAAAAAGGGGGGCGCCCTGCTGTGAGAATGGCATTTGAGTGACTGAAGTAAATAATAGCTGTCAAATATTGATGAATATGAAAATATTTTGCACATTGAAATGTGAAAATGGTTTTAATTTGGATTGGTGACATGTGGTCGATACCCGGTTCTCTTCACAAAGTCGGTATCGGCGCTGACACCCATCAGACGGATCAGTGCATCTTTAGTTTCTGAGATTCATTATTCTAATTAAAGGTAAACTTACATGCCGATATTATCAGCTCACTCTTGGACAAACGACAAAAATCGACAGTGTCTCAATTTAAATACACCCCTCTGCTGTAAAATCCTAAAACTTTAAGCAGGCGTCAGCTTTACTCTGAGTGCACACACACTGCCACGTTCTTGTGTCTCTCCCAGTAGTGGCAGTCTTCAGGAAAGCTCCACGCAGCTGCAAACTCCTTGTGGCGACTGACGGCGTGAACGACAAACCCGCACAGCTGCTTCTCCAACACCTCCACCACCGCCGGGGCGTTTCCCTTCTTCCCCTGGTCCTCCATCACCTGCCGGATGCAGTCACGAGGCACCGGCTGGGGTTTGGTGCTGTACGACACCACCAGGTTGATGTTGTTCACCTGAAGCACCTCGAACCAGTTCTGTCCCGCCACGTGGTGAAAGTGCTCACCTGCTCGCCAGTTCCGGTAGGTGCTCCCTGAATGGTTGATCAGCCGCACTGACCAGCTGACCCAATCGTACTTCTTCATCAAGAATTCAAGCAGCTGCTGAGTCGTATCTTGCAGGTTCTCTTCCTGCTTTTCTTGCAGGAGGCGCTGAGCGTCTAGTTTTGCTTGCTCTGGGAAGGTGGCGATACAGGACTCGATGGTTGTCTTCATCTTGGACTCTACTTCTTCAATTTTGCTGCTCCACTCTTGGATTTTGTCGTCTTCTTCCTCTTGGCTTCGGGTTAAGGCACAGTGGCCCAAAAGGGCAATCAGACCCAAACAGAGGAGCTCCTTCATTCGGACACAGAAAACTTCCAGGAGACGACGGTTCCTCGCTACGTACCTGCAAAAGACAGCAACCATTTACATTTCTATTAAAGTTTATTTGCTCCAATCCAGAGAAACCTGCAGTGATGATTGTGTCAGAAGCATGCAAATGAGTAGAACCGTCACGACCTCTGCAATGAATCCAGAAACATAAATATGATGAAATATAACAATTTACCTTTCAACTAACTCTAAAACCGACTCCCCAAAGCTGTTTGTCCCCATCAGAGCATCGTGCAGCACAGACAGGTTCTTCTCCCCTCCAGTTTTGGCAAAGTGCTCCACAAAAAGTCTGGTCTTCACCTCTTTGAACTGCTGTTTTGCCTCCAAGATGTCCATATACTTCCGAAACTGGTTCCTAATGTTCTCCTCCACCGAGAAGTACTGGGAATCCAGTCTCCCCTTCTTGATCTCGCAGTCGATGTCCTCCAGTTGGGTGGAGAGCACGTCGAGCTTGTTCCTCACCGTGAGGAACTGCTCTTTGACGTAGAAGACCTCTTTGCTGTGGACATTGTCTAAGGCCAAGCGGAGAACCGGCGCGGCGGCCTCACAGAGGGGGAAGAGCTCGCCCACGGCACTGGCCAACACCTCGGCCCCCTTCTGAAACATATCCATCACTGCCTCGATGGCCTCCTTCTTCTGGGCCACGACCCTCTCCAATGAAGTGGTCATGTTCTGAGACACAGAGGGACAGAAACTGGTGTCGGGTACAAATAAACATCGGGGAAAATGATATGAAATATGTGACAAAATGGGTCAAAGTCATTGTACTGTTAAATTTCCATCAATAATGAGGAAGGACTGGCTGTTATCCAATACAGTGGTTTTCGGATTGTGAAGCACTAATATTAAGCAGTGACCGTCTCACAGCTCGTGTAGGTCTATAAGTAGTGAGCAGATCCACCAAAGTGATTTTTCCCTGTAAATTTCTGATTGTTATATTCAAATTATTGATAATCTATTTAGTGTTTCAAACAAAAAATAGATAAAAAATAACTATCTGTGCAGCAGAGCAACTTAACATTGCATATGGAATATAAACTAAATGCTTTTTGAATAATCTGGGTCTCTTTTTCCTCATGAATGAGGTTTCTCAAAAAGCACACACTAGTGTTAACACAAAGACGCTTTCTCCTTGAAGGTTATAAAATACATTAGTGAGTAGTTATCTAAATATCACAGAGCTGAAACAAATCATCCATCAACACTCGCTTGCTTCTCCGATGGGAGGATTTGCTGCTTTTCTTTGTCTTTTGTGATAAACTAAATATATTTCAATTTATGAGTGTTGGTCACACAAAATAAGACATTTGAAACTGACAAACTATGGACATATAATGAGCATTTTCACTGTTTTTTTACATTTTGATTGAAGAAACAATTAAACAAATAATCCATAATGAGTTGCAGCCCTTGAAGACAAATGACAAAATCTGTTTTTGTCATTCCAGGAGATAACTGTGAAGGTTAATATAGACATCAGAATTAAATGCAGGATATAAAAAAGAAAAATGTACCTTGACCCTGCTTTGAAATGGTGAAGAAGATAATGATGTCATATAAACAAAATGGGGGCCTGAGATTACTTGGATGAGACATGCCCTTGGGTCTGCCTATGACTAATTTCAGAACAGAACAGAACAGACCAAGGCCAAACCAGGTTTAAAAATATCATCCTCGCATACAACAAGATAAATGACTTTGTCTCTGTTCAGATGTTTGTCAGTGGATGGACCCCAGATGATGAGTCACCCAACTCCACAAATTAACATCGACATTAATTTGGTTAATCTGAAAATGCTATTTCTATATTTAGATGTGGCAAATAAGCAAACAACTGAAAATCAATTCATCAAATAAATACATAGTGTATATGCCAGAAATATCCATTTACTAAAAAAAGGTTTGTCACGTGAACAAGCTGCACCATGTTCAACTGTCAGTCGCACCCAAAAGAAATGCGCAACGAGAGTCTTTTTACGCACAATCCCCCTGAGCATCGGACACACCTTGCAGCGTATTTACCCGCTCTAATGGGAGATAAGGACATTCATCACATTCCTATAATAACAATGCTGTTTTTTCTGTACCTGAATGAAATAAATCTGCTGGTCCTTCTCGCTTGATGAGCTCCAACAGCTGCAAACAAGTTTGTTTTTTTCCCTGCAAGTTTGAGGATTTTCCCACGGTTCTCTCTAGTGTGGAGCTGAGGAGGGGTCCAAAAGTAGGATCCAGAGAGGAAGAAGAAATGCGCACTCAATATCTGCAAAGGAGAGAGGGGGAGGAAGAGAGAGATAGAGAGTGAGAGGGAGAGAGACACAGACACAGACAGACAAACTGCAAGAGGTGACATATGTGGTCGGTTCATTTTCTTCTCGGTCTTCGTGGCACCATGAAAGGACGATTCAGTCTCTTCTCAAATAAACGGAGCTGAATTTAATTTTCTGTTTAACTGTTTATCATTTTCAACATATCTTCGATGGATTTTTTTTATCTGAGAGGTTTCTTGCGCTCTTGGTGCAAATGTCTCTTCTTCATCACCATCATGCGGTTCAGCTGTTGTTGAATGTGAAAGGATCCAAGCTTGAGGTAAGACGATTGGGAAACGAATTTGTTGTGTCTTGTTGGTGTTAAAGTACGATTAATTGATATAATTTTTTTTAATTTTACCCACAACTTAAATTATAAATGGATGTGCACACGAAGGTGTGGTGTGAAGTAAATACACGCCGTTTGGATTTGTAATAAGATTCAGAATGTGTTAAATGATAAAGATATAAATGTTCAGGGAGCGCATTAGTCAACCACACAGCGTTTATTTATAACTATGCGCCACCTCTCTCCACTCAGAATTGTCACAAATAGATCTGGTTAAAACACGCTTCTACATTCAAAATGAACACTGAATTACGTTTATTTTTTCATGACTCGGAGGACTTTATAGTGACATTAAACCTCACATCCCCTTCATCTGCGCGCACACGACGCGCCCCGTGCGTCCAACTGAACCTCCCTCACAAAAATAAACATCATTACGCAAATCGTTTCTCCTCCAAACCACGAAGAGCTTCACGTCATATATGAAGACATTATCTTCGTTTCGTGATGAATACTTTTATCTGAATTTCTGAAATACACTTATTTTTTTCAGGTGGAAATGGATTCTCCGAAACGAGCTCCTGTCATGGAGAGAAAATGAGCTCCATCACATGATGGACGACGTGCGTCTGTGGCTCAAAGACACTCATCGTTCCGTCTGCGGAGTATAGGTGAGAACCTAAATTCTTTGTTTCTCAGTAATCTGCATTTCAAACGCCTGCAATGCACATTTTCCTGTTTCGGTTCCCTTAAATCTGAGCTGTGAGTCAAACCTGTTCAGCTGGAAAACGATGCATGAGGGCCATACCAGAGGTATTGACCCAGGTCAGGTGCCCATTTTACTTCACCTGAGGTAAATCATTTCCCCCTCTTTTGAAACTATAAATCATTTGGATTGCGTTCGCACAGGTCATGTAGCAGATCTTAGAAGGAAGTATAGGCTCTTTTAGCTCGTCAGTTTGGAGGTGCAGATGTGATGCTTCATTCTCGTTGGCCCTCAGGGAGTTCAGTGAAAACAGGTGTAACGATGAAGCCATTGAAGTACTCACGCCCTCTTGCGTACAAATCAGTAAATTGCACCTTTTACGTTCCCTCTTAGCTCGCTGGCCTCCTATGCACCATCTATGGACATTTTGTAAAATTCACATTTGATACAAATAAAAAGCTCTCATTATACAAAGATGCCAAATAGGCACAATTATGGGCAAATAAGACGATTCAAGTCTCTAAACTATTGAAATTAGTTGGAATGATGCAGTCATACAAAACAATAAGTATTTTTGAATATGTTCAGCTGAAATGGAATTGGATTTGAACAAAATATCCAAATAATTCAACAACAATCATTGATAGTGAATGAAAATAGTTTAAAACCAAAATATTACATCAAAAAACAAAACCTGACATAAAAATAAACACATATTTTCTCTACTTACATTTAACTATTTGAGTTTTGTCTTGTTTTTCCTCAGTGCATGAGTGCGATTCAACATTAGCGCCTGTTTGGCAGTAGAGTGTGGCATGTACACACTCTGACTGTGTGTACATGTCAGAGTTAGAAAGCAAATATTACATTTTTCATTTTTCATTCAATTAGCTTATTTTGTACACAGCAGTAAAAATGTATTAAAATATATATATATATATATATATATATATAAATTTTTTTTTTTTTTTCTACTCATACTTGCATTGTATTTTTGGCATTTGTTTTGTGCTTTCATGGTGTTTTCAAGATTATCCAGAAATGTTATATAGCTAAATACACTATATGGCCAAAAGTACTGTGTATATAGACACCCAAACAATATACCCATATGCAATAGTTGAACATTTCATTCCTAAACCATCTGCTGCTACAAAAGCCTCCATTATTTGTAGGAATGCTATCCTCTTGATGTTGGAGCTTGGTTGCAGGGGTTTGCTCCTCTTTGGCCACTAGAGGTCAGACACTGAAGACTGGCTCAGTTGGTGTTCCAGATGTGTGGGTGGGTTTAGGTCAGGTCTCTGTGCAGGCCGGTCAAACTCTTAAATAAGTGACTACTCCAAATCAGCTTTATTCACTCAACGTTTATTTAACAAAAAAGGCAACATATTCACATATATGGCATTTCACATGAAGCTTCTAAGAGGTTCATATAATATTCCTCTATATCGACGGCATTTTGACAGCATGTTTATGTCGCGTATACCGAATCTGTTGTAACAATAAGATATTGCACAATGCCACAGAACCATAAAGCAGTGTAGAACAGATTTGTGTTGAAAGGAAGAGAGTAAAACGGGCTAGAAATATATGTGAAACATGAAAAGAATATATAGAAACTGGTAGATTTGAAAGCCATTAATGAGGATCAGATATTGTTTAGTGGTCACATGTTTGGTTGACTGTTCTAATTTACAACTCTGCTGACTCTGAACGGTCCTGATGCAGCGATCTAAACCAGCTGGTACTATCGCTGCCACCGCTTTACTAAAACAAGCGAAGAAGACACATTTACAAAAAATATTTCAACCACGAGTTTGAAATCTGTAGTGTAAAGACCATTCAAAACACAATGCATTAAACAATCATAGTTAAATGATTTAAGACAAAAACCCTTAAAATAATACAAAACTATTGGCACATTTAGGCACTGTTGGTCAGACGAGCGAGCGTATGAGAAGAGCCACAACTTTAAATGTTTTCAAGGCTCTTAATTGCCTTACCCCAAAGAAACCCATTGATAGTCTATCTATCTATCTATCTATATATAACAAACATAGTTGGTGCACCTCCTGCACATGTAATAGAAAATAAAGTGAAGAGTGGAAGGATTCAACCAGTGACATTACAACTTCCTCTAATACATTTAGAAAGTCAAATACCTCTGTTGTGTACAAACAAACAACTGTGGGTAGTGAAAATAGTCTAGATCTCAATTTGTTTAATTAGTTCTCAAATGTTCCTTTGTGTATCCTTCTGTGGGGAGGTAGTGTTAAAACAAATCAGATTGTGTGTGTGCTGTCAGTGTTTGTAATTAACCACAAATGTTCACTAAAATTAAAGAAAGAAAAAGAACTCTGTACAGCAGCGTCAGAAATTAGTGTAAAATGACATATTTCGTGCTCGACAGCAACAAGTATGCATAGTGTTTCATGAACGCCATGCACAACAAACATACAATATATGAGACATATTATGGTAATTTGCACACGGCGGTGTGACAATTATATGATTTTACATCTGTAGTTAGACATAGAAAAGCAGCAGAGGAGAAAGAATGCTCTTCTTCTTCTTCCTCTTCATTTGCACCTGGAAAGAGCCTCCTGCATCTTCTCTTGCACGTGCTCCATCTTCTCGGACCACTCCTCGCTCAGACCCTCCTCGTCGTCTCCGATGACGGCGGCGTATCCCATGAGGGCGATGAGGCCGATGCAGAATAGGTAGGTGAGGCGTGTGCAGAGGCGCTCCATGGTGCGACGGTCGCCTTGTGAGTGCTTCAGGTACACCTCCAGGATTGGTCTGCTGAAGAGCTTGGGCTTGCCCACCACGCCGTCGTAGAGCGTGTGCAGGTTCTGGTCTCCCAAGTCATTGGAATAGCTCTCCTCGAAGTCGTCCTTCTTGCGTTCGCGGTGCTCCGGCCGCGCCTCCACCATCTCCATGAACTTTCTGAACTGGTTCTTCAGGTTCTCCTCCACGCGGCAGTACTGGCCGTCCAGCGTTTCCTTCTTGATCTGCACCAGCGTGTTGCGATTCATCTGGGAGAGCTCGTCCAGCGCCCGGTGGACCGAGCCGAACTCGCGCTTCAGGGTGCGGATGTCCTCGTCGTCGACGTGGTGCAGCACCACCCGGATCAGGGAGCCGGCCACGCCAAAAATGGGGTTAACCACAGCTGCTGCCGAGGAGATGGTGGCCACACACTGGAGGACTTTCACCAGGCCCTGCTTCAGCTTGGCATGGTCCTCAAGGATCTCCTCTTCCATCATATTGTTCAGGCTGGTGCAGATGTTGAGGTCACTGAGTGCAGATGTTGACGTCTGTGAAAGACAAGGATCATAGTTTATTGTAATTGATGGTCTTTAGGATGCTGCAGCCACATTTATCACGATGAGGCACTCTGTTTGTTCATGGGACCGTTTCAAGTGTAGTATTAAAGGGTCATTGCACCAGTTGTACACATTGAGATCAGCTGACTCATCTAAAGGAGTACTACTCAAACCTGGGGAAGTTTTACAATGCGTTCTGTGGCTGTGCTTTAATTACAGGGGAAATGGAGACAATTTGTTACACTTCTAATGAATTAATTAAAATCATTTGCTGGGGTAACTTAGAAAGCCATCAAGGATGAACTACATGATATCAAAGCCATGTTGTTTTTAACCTCAGTAATAATACTCCGAAGGGATTTATTGTATATTATTAATTTGTTAGACTGCTAGTTGGATGAAAAAAGCAAATGAAGGCACCAACCTGGGCTCTGTGAAACTATAGTGAGCGTTTAGTTTATGAACAAAAAGATTTATCAAAAAAGTCAAAGGGCAGATAGACAATATAATTAACAGATATGAGATTCACTTATAAATCAATGTGCAGAAAACAGCCATGAAAAAGGGATAAAAAACGGTCCATTGTTCTGGTCTCGCAGCTATAAATCCGCTTGAAGACTGTGTGCAAAACTGATCCCACAGAAACAACAACATTTGGACTGACAGTCTTTACGCAGAGCAACTTGTATTCAGTTGCGCTCCACAGAAGCCCATCGCTGATTAGTTGAGTCCCTCTCAGCCTGATGTGTCTTCTGACAGACACATTTTCATGGCGGCTTCACAGAAAATCTGAACATGACAGACAACAGATGATGGTGAAATAAATCTGCTGTCAAACTGTTGGAGAAGACTTGTGGCTTCTTACATCAAATCTCTTCTGTTCTTCAGGAACCTCGTCTTGGAGTTGTTGCACTGATTAAGGGACTCTGGTCCTGATCGGGATGATTCCTGAAACACAAGACAAACGGGGATTAAAGCACAATTCAAAAATATCCAACACAGGATGTACAGTATAGTACAGATTTTGATTCATTCTCTCTTTGAACCAGGAAGTGAACAGACTCTTGTCCCTTGCTGGTTGCAGTTTTTAGCAGTGAAGGAGTTAACAGCCTCTCTGCTTCTGTCTGACGGTGCTTCATTCAGCACTCGAGCCTTTCAGCACCAGGCTGCTCTGTGTGTGTTTCTATGGACAGAGCTGATAGCTCCTCACAGCTAAATAGGGAAGGCATGCTAAGACACTAGCAGCAGCTAATGGGCGGGCCAGTGGAAAGACAAATACGCCACGGCTGACTGAGCCGTAAGACTTGTTTATTACATAACAGAGGCTGCTTTTCAACACATGACATGATTTCACGATACTTTAGAGGCAGAATTAAGAGGTTTAAAGTAAAATGTGTGTGCGCTGCAAGACTACAAGAGGGCGCAGTAAAAGCTCTGTTCACACCTGATACTTGTTTGTTAAAACAGGATTAAACAGGAGTCTTCCCTTAAATACACACATAATATAGGACAGCTTGACATCTGAGCTGTTTCAAGGACTCATGTTCCCAACAGTCTCTTGTTATCTTCTTCTACACCTCAGTAAGTCGGTTATGGCTCGGCATGCGTGCTATGGTACTACAGACGCATACCAGTCTGAGATTACAATATAGCCACAAAGATGATCACAAATGTGTTGTGCTGACACTGGGGACCCACACAGCTGATGACCACAAGGCTGTGCACGTTCAAACAGGCCGTGAGACACACTGTGAGGAACAGACCGGTGTGTGTTTCTGTTTTGTTTTCGTCCCTTTTTCTTTTAAATACCCGTGTCCACCAGAGGAGGGCAGTAACTTAACCTGTGAAAACAGCCATAATATCCACCATCTGATTTCAGCACCATCACTGTGGACTAAAAGCAGTGACGTTCTGGAGCAGGATTTAACCCGTTAGCTTCAGACTGTAGATGATGTGCTTAAATGCACAAATTCAACACAAAAAAAAGAGCAAATGTTGAACTTTATTTAAATACTAGTGAAACCTACACATATAAAATCCTGTAAAATGAGATGAAATCTATACAAGATGCTTCTGAAATGTCACTTTTGATAAATGCTGTCATTTTCTTTTTGCATTACATCACCTTTGCATTCATGCTGAAAGCCATAAATGCGATTATGAAGAATAATGACTGCTGATAAAAAGTTATTTGCTTCACAGTTGGTACTTTGCAGCTACAAAATAATCCTCAAATGAAATGCATGCGTGTTATATTTTAATTATTGTGTCCCTGTTTTCACAGAGGATGTTCTACAACAGAAATGCTCCGTGTGACGCAACACAGTACGTCAAGCTGCAAGAGGAGAGGAAGGTAATGAAAGGGTTAATTATTAGTTTATTTTACAAAAGTTACCTCTCTGGCACAATACCACCAGACGATTGAAGATATATTATGAATACTAAATGATCTGAGCTATATTTAATAACAAAGTGGGTGATTTTGGTGAATCACGCATCTTACTGCAGCTGCATTTGAATCTGCAACAGACAATTAACCCTTTGTGCAAATTAAATTAAATCATTAAATTGAATCTTTACCTACAAATGTCTTATCAATCTGAAGACAATTTAGGATTGAGGTGTAATCATATTGGTTTTACATGATGATACAAATATGAATTAAGAGATGATAAATAACACCAAATACAGCAGTTTGTGGGTTAACTAATCACTGCTCTCTAGCAACATGGCCTTTTAAAGAAAGCACAGAACCTCCACATCTCAGTGAGAAAGTCTCGGCCTAAAGTTGCGGATCGGTGACTCAGCTTCTGCAATATTGTGCTTCTATACAGACAGAAGCTACAAGAACATCTGAAGTTTGAGTCTCTGCTGGGAAGAAACGTTTGACTCCTGTGTTGGTTGTAAACAAAGCAGCTCTGTGTGTCTAATCAGGAAGTGTAACGCTGCTCTCACCTGTGTCCCAGCAGAGGAGCGGCCATCTTGAATGTTTTCTATGATAGCAACAATGCTAGGCTAACCCACATTCACACGTTATATTCCATTAAAAGTATCCGTACAGGACATAGTTCACATTTTCTTGACTTCTTTGACTGATTTCCTGCCACTTCTTTGTGTTTAATGAACGTTTGCTCTCTCTCTACAGATCACAGCCTGTGGGGCAGTTGGGACACTTTCCTAAGGAAGTGTACAGCCTTGAGGCTGCTGCAGTTCAAACAATACGTTCATTAATGAAAGCTAACATACAACAATGAAGTATCTTCCGGAGTTCTTCTGATTACGAGTACTAAAACAAGCAAAACACCCCCTCTGCCAACAGCTCAGGGCCAGACAGCCGCCTCCCGACCCAGCTATGGCTCCCCCTAGCCGTGCCTCCATATTTCCTTGTTAATGCACCATAATGCCCTGGCCCTCCCTGCTCTATCACACTACAAATACACCAAAAATATACCTGATAACTTCACTTTCTCTGTCTAAATGTGGAGTATATAGTCTCCATCTGCGTCTCAGCCAACATTGGGCACCATTGGCCACAGCAAAAGAGAGGATTTCTTACCTTTTTGAGAGTGGCTATTGCTATACCTCCCTCTCCAAAGTGTCAACCTCGGTAGCCTCCTTCTTCTTCCCAGCAATCCCTGCAAAAAAGGACACTTCCATGTATGATGAATATGTAGGGGTGAACAAATTGGACTAAATTAATTCTAAAGAGCCCATATAGCTCCCAAAACCCAGAAATTGCATTTTTAGCTCCAGGTACCAATAAGCTCCAAATTGCCATTTTAAAATGACGTGTCAATAACATTAAACGGTAAAACCCACTCCTCAAATACACCATGTCCCACCCCTATTGTTTCAACTTATTCTGGCCCATCTAGTACTCATACAGTTGATAGTAAAGAGCAATTGTCAGTCAATGCGCAGCTGCGTACTCCGGCGCATTCTGCTACCCTTTGTGCGTTTGTCAAGCCTTGGAGCATCTTTGGGAGGCTACAAATAGCCCATTGGTGGTATTTATGTGTCAAAGAGACCCTTATCATGTGGACTGGACCAAAAGAACGGGAAGGAAAATACTTTCATGAGCGAAGAATCCAACCAGGAAAAGAGAGAGCCAAAGGGACCTCTCCAAAAGTGCACAGGTGCACCCAAAGGCACAGAGAGCTATCTAAAGGCTCCTAGAGGGGAAAAACTTAGAAAGTAATGATAATAATAATTCCGTTTAAATTTTACCAATTCCGCTCAAAAATGAAAGGCTACACTCAATAATTGTTGAATTTAAAGTATATTCATAAGCAAATCGGATTCTGAAAAATACACCAAATGGCACAGATAGTGATTTGGACCTTGACGTAAATAACTTCACGTATTTAAATATATATGAATTACTTAGATATAGTTTTGTTGATAATGACAGCACTGTAGCGACGCTCACAAATTGAAATCGTCTATTCTTACCAACCAAGCAGGCAAAAGCCTGAGCTGTAAACGCACCAGTTCAGTGCGCCAAAGTAGCCATTTGTCTGGTCCTGTATCCAGACCTGAATGACCAATAATTTAGGCCTGTAGCACAAAATATAAATATATATGGTTATACGAAAATCCATGCAGGCAAATCTACTGGATTGTTAAATGTGGAGCGACTGCGCCGGCAGTTGAAGCTGTTTTCCCCAAAACAAACCTCTATGCAAATTCTGATGGCAGCTGCCAGCAGAGCGTTAAAGAACAACCCTGTTCCCTTCAACGCCTGACTAATGTCTGTGATGTTTACGTCGTGTAATACAACAGCAGATAGTCACAAATACGATGGGTGTTTGCCTCCTTGCGTGCCCAGACCTGAGCCTCCAGCAAGTTAAAGACCCCGCATCCCCTCTCTGGGACACCAAGCCTCAGGCGACAGCAGCACAAGAGAGTCACTCTCCTCCCTGTGGTTTGTAGTGGAAGAAAAAATGGAAATAAAAACACGTGTCCGTTAGAACCGATAAAGCCTCCGTTGTCTGCTCAGAAACGACTGTCCACATCGACCGTATTGTCGGTAAAAGCAGGCGCATGTAATGTGTAGCCTCTTTATTCAGCACCACAGCCGGAGCTTGAGCTGGACGCACGCCTGTCCTCATTGTGCATTTGCTGCAGCAGCTGTCAGACAGATCACATTGCGATGAATACTCACAGGTCCTATATAATACTGTAATAACATCTCTTGTGCAAGATCAGCTGTGCGTCGGTCAACATGCGTAATATGTAGGCTGAATGACAAACCACTTCTGCTGCAAGATTGTCTTGTTTTGTTTTTTTAGCTGGGGGGCAGGAGGAGCTCTCTGCTGACGGTTTGAAAGCGCGTTCATGATGTCTAGAGGCAGTGAGTATAAACAGCACAAGAGGCATAAGTGTGACTACAAATCAAGCGATACAGATCCAAGACTTTGGATAAAACATTTTATTTCACAATATACTGTAAGCACATTATATTGTCTGATTTCATTCAATGTGTAAATATTTTAAAATAAAAAAAGTAAAAAAAATATTGGTCGTTGTTTTTTTTTTTACTGTGCAGAATTTCCAGAATAAAAAAGACAAATAGGAGAGACAAAGATTAGAGATGATTGTTTGATTACAATACAAAAGACAATACCAGAATGTTTTACATTATTTTTGTAATTTAACATGTTTCAAAAAATATTAAAAATGTACGTCTTACAAGTAAAGATGTAACTGGTAATTCCTCATCTGTCATTTACATGGAGATGTTGTAATATTTTAACCATTACCTTGATTGTAGATGTCAGACTCCAGAGGCGCGTGTGTGTGTGTGTGTGTGTGTGTGTGTGTGTGTGTGTGTGTGTGTGTGTGTGTGTGTTTTATCAGAGCGGGTGGGTGGGTTGGTTATCAGAGCGGGTGGGTGGGTTGGTTATCAGAGCGACACTGTGCATTGTTTACATAGCCGGGCTGTGTGCCTTTTAGTGAATGTGAGCTTGTCTTTTAGTGCAGTGGTCCCCAACCACCGGGCCGCGGACCGTTACCGGGCCGTGGGTCATTTGGTACCGGGCCGCACAGAAAGGATAAATAGTATATTATTTACCGTTTTATTGATTATCACAGTCTGAAAGTTTTATTTTGAAAAATGACCGGATTCTCTCGCAATTTCATCCGCCTGTGCCTCTTGACACATGTCAAGACGCTTGTCTCGGTCACGTGACCTCAGAAATTAAGCCCGCAAACTAGCGAAAATGAGTAAATAACTTTTGGAGAGCTTCTTTGCAAAGGGGGAAAGAGGCCACTAAGGAGACAGAAGAAGAGCCGACAACTTCCGAGAAAATGAAAGCTTCATTTAACAGACAATATCTAATCTAATTAAATATCAGGAGTATTTCTGACGCGCCAAGCCCGCTCTGCAGAATATGTGGCGACAAAGGATCAGCTGCTGGAGGTTGTAAATGACGGTGGCCTTAATTAAAAGTATGTTTGAGACAACAACTCTGCTGGTGTTTGGATTCAAATCAAGGCTGAATATCCTGAGATCGCCACTAAAGTACTGAAAACCCTGCTTCCATTTCACACATCCTCTTTGTGAAGCGTGACTTTCTGCAGTGACGGCAATCAAAACAAGATGACGGAGTAGACTGGACATCAGGAACAGACTGCGGGTGTCATTGTCTCCCGTTACCCCCAGATGGGACCGTCTCGTTTCAGAGAAACAAGCTCAGGGCTCCCACTGATTCAGCGTTATTGTGAGTTGTATTTATTTATGCATTTTATATTTGTTTTCATGCCGATCGTATCATTTTATTTCGTCGTGTTTTTCCGCCACACCTTGAAGGCCGGTCCGTGAAAATATTGTCTTACATGAAACCGGTCCGTGGTGCAAAAAAGGTTGGCGACCTCTGTTTTAGTGCATGCGAGCTTGTCCCAGTGGTACAGCTCTCATAGAGCGGTTACTGCGGATAACACGGTTGAGAGCTGTGCGGAGGCAATAGATGTGCTCTCAATTTTGAATTTAGCACCGTTAAAAGGAGAAGATCTGGGAAACAAGCTTATTTGCATTTTTTTTCTTGTGATTAGTAGTTTTAATGATATGACACTGCGGACAGGTACTACTAATAGTTTACGTTTGTTCTGCATATTTTAATTGCATTCATTTACCGAAATGCAAATAGATATCGCCCTAAACACTGAGCTCAATCAAGAAATATATCAGTACCCTTAACGTTAATTAACCATGGCTGACATTACATTGGGGTCTCTTTCTCCTGAAATCACCTATACATGCACTCGGGACTGAAATAAAATCATTGACCAGCTTATTTAATAATCATCACGCCTCCCAAACAGAACTACATCCTGGGCCTGATTCATATGGAGTTTCTTACAGCTATCTCCTACTTGGTTATATACAAAATATAACACTGATGCAATCACTTCAGCCAATTAACAAGAACATAGGGAGCCTCTTTTGACATCATTTTTTAATATGTTACTTACAGAGTCCACTTTTGGATAAAAATTGAACAAGGGATTTTACACAAACACTGCATTTAGGTTCTCCAGCGTCACTGTAGATTTCAAGTCAACGTTTTATTATTATTAAGAGAGTATTTACGCTTTTACAGAGCAATCTAGATGTTGGTCAGCTTGATTTGAGATATTTCTGTAGTTAGTTTTGAATAAGAAGAAGTCTGGGCATTTCATGATGTTTGTGTGTTTTAATGTGCTTATGAACAGTAAGTGTGTGTGCATCATAAAAAATAGAAAAGGCTAAAGTAGGCCAGCGGTTCACAGCACCACATGAGCTTGAAGGAGCCGTGCACGTCCCCCTTCTCTCCCACGCTGCCTTCCTCTTTGTCCTCCTCCTCCTCTGCCTCCGTCTTCCATCCCTCCTCTCCGGTACTCTCGTCTCCCCTACTGATTTGCACAATCACAAGATCTAAGGACAGAGAGTGTCGTGCAGATTGTAAAGCCCTTTAAGGAAGAATTTGTGATTTGGTGTATGCTATATCAAGAGAGACCAAACGTTTTTGATTGTGGGCCATACACAGAAAAGTACAAGGAGTAACTTTTTATCTAAAATGTAAGTTTCAACAAGTTTTACTGCAAGAAAATAAGTGTTTCTAAATTAAAAACTCCATAGAAAATGTATTTTCTGTCAGAAAAACTATGCAACACTGCTAAACAGTTTGACATTATAGTAGTTCATTTGTGAGCCCACATATACCAACATTATTTTTTATTGAAATTGATTTCATACTTTTAAACTCTAAAACAGTTTGTGATGTTATAAATCTGTAAATAAGTTGAGTTGAAAAAGGCAGAAATGAACAAATATTAGTTTCTGTTGACGATCTGAGCTCCTGTTGCATTAAGATTACGATGTAGATGAGATACAAATGTAAATGTAGGTCTGATATTAAGGTGTAACAAATGGAGCAGTTTCTGTGCTAAATGTAGTCAACGTGTACTAAGATGTGCAATGGACATGCAGTGCAATTTATTAGAAATGTGCTTAAGCCATTTTATAGTTTATTTGAAAAAAATTCACTGCAAGTAGTTTGGCCACCCGCAGGTCTGTAAATATATGTAAATATAAAACTGACTTGTTTTGACATGATGTAATCGTTATGATGGAATATAATACATCTGCATTTCAGAAAACTTGTGATACAAAGAAAGATTGCCTTCATGTAAGTTATCAACTGGGGAAGTTTCATTGTGAAATCAATGATTTATTTATTCTACTCTATTCCCCTGTAATGTCTTCAAAATATCTGTACTTTCACAATAAATATCTTTAAAAAATGAGTCGTTTCTCTGAGCCAGAAATCTAAGTTTCATTCCTCTCTATGTTCTGAAGGTTTTTACAGAAGGGTTAGTTAAATATCATTCATAGCCTGGTGTATACAGCATTTTATTCCTAAAATTATTTTATGGCTGTTGACAGTAATTTCAGATTCATGGAGTGACACAAAGAGATATCCTGAATCCCTTTGACTCTAATACGTCAACAACGTGAAACAAGGATTTTGAACCTGGCTTCGGCCAATGTTTGATGATTTCTGTTCTGGAAATATATACAAATTATCAAATATTTAATTAGATAATGTCAAATTCTGCATATTTAAACATAACATTTCAGCAAACCTGTAATGCAAAACATTGCCTTAATGTAAGTAATCAGTTGGGGAAGTTTCATGGTGATATCTATTGTTTTTTTTTACCCAATTCATCTATCATGATTTTCAGAACAGACAACACAGATCTGAATGAAATGTGTATTTTATGGGTATTTTTACGTGCATTTCTGACTTTGAATGACTTTCTGATGAAGTGTGTTTTATTTGAGTAATGACGTACTAATCGTGTATTTTCAATAAAGAGAAAACAAGAGAAACATCCTTAAATGTTAAACATTGATGTGAATTTTAAACCGATCCTCCTGAATATTAGAAAAAACCCAGAACAGTCTGTGGTCATTTAGCATACAGACACCTCTTAATACTATTATTGTTATTTTTCAAAACTGCAGAGTGAGAGAATGTTAAGTTCTAGTGGCTGTGCTGATGCCATCTTGAACTTGATGACATCACTAGAATCAGAATCAGAATCAGAAGAGAACTCACCTGTTCTTCATAAACTGGTTAGATTTCAAGTCAGATACATTTTTTGGCTTCAGCATATCAGAGGAAACCTTTATCAGACAGAAAACAACACGATGGACAAAATGGTAAGTTGTTTCATATAGTTTAAGAGTAAATGAGTTTCCTTTCAAATGCAAGAGAGCTCAAACTGTTGGTTGAAATGTGAAAATCAAATGTTTACAAGGTTCTTAGTTTATTCACATAAAGTATACAGTTGAGTCCACTGATCTGCTTATATGTATCAATAAACTGATGTATTAACGTAACTACATAATCAGCATTAGCTTTTAAAGTTGCACCCCATCTTGCATCTTATTTTAAGTTTAAAATTTCATATTTATGTATTTTATCTGATCTGAAAATGAATGAACAAGCAATACAGTTGCTTTACAAACATGAGATGTGATTAAAAAAAAAAAAGATAAAACAAGCAGGAAAATTAAGCAACTCAATTCAGAAAGAAGATTGACTTTTTGATTGATTTTTACTTTTGAGTAGTTCTCAAAATGTTTTGACATGACATTTTAAATCGGCTATCATAAAAATCCTTCTCTAAACTTTAAAGGGGGCATGTCATGCTCATTTTCAGGTTCAGACTTGTATTTTGGGTACCTACTAGAACATGTTTTCATGCTAACCCACTATTTTTCGAACACTCCGGATATCCAAATGTATGTGCACATGTATGCAAAAGGTTTTTTCACGATATGTCCCCTTTAAACAACGAGATATCATTCCTGCATGCAAACTCGTTTTGCTGATGTCTTATTTTATCGGGGGGAAATAACGTGTTGTGTGCATCTTTTCCTTCCTTCCGTTCAGCTTTGTTCAACAACAGAATCGGTGACCTTCTCCTCCCCCTCTTCTGATTACTTGGTTCAGGGCATTTTGGGGGAGGGTAGCTTTGGTAAAGTCGCCAAGTGCTTGAAGTTAGCCACGAAGGAGAAGGTGGCTGTGAAGATCAAGTGCAGCCAGTACACGGATAAGGTTAACAAGGTAAAAGAGAAGCGCCAAAGGTTTAATTTGTACGATGCTTCAAATGCACTTAAACCGTTCACCTTAAAGTTAAATCTAACATTTCACATGTCCCCCCCCAGGTGTACAGAATTTGAACAACAATTCTTCATCTGTCATTTACACAGATATATGTTGAACTCATAATTTGACAATTATAGATGCCTCGATTGTAGTTACAGACATTGGACTCCAGCGGTGCTGTATTGATAGTGGCTGTTACATAAGAGCTACTGTACAATAGCTTTATTGCCTTAGAATACATTTGCAGTTAGCGTTTTCTACTGGCATGCAATGCAGTATACTACATGAAGAAAAAGTATACAACGATGTGAAATTAGAACCAAAGTGATAAAAATGCAGTGTTTTTCTCTCAGGGTTAGTTGTATATTTCAACAACGAAGAAACACAAATGACTTATTTAAAAAAAGAATTTCAATAAGCAGACCATATCAGACGACCTGGAACAAATCTCAACTTCATCACTACAAATTAACCAAAAAATAGTAATAAACATCCACATAGCCCTGTGTTTTACACAATATAACATAATTAAATATACCATTGAATATAAAAATCTCGTCCATCAGCTGCACATTATTCCTCCACTGTTGGTGTGGGATCCTGCTCTGTTAGGTTCCAGTGTATCTCCAGACGGCTCTATGTTCTGGAGCAGGTGTGCGTAATGCATGGGCTCGGTTTGGTGGCGAGCGTTTTTTCGAGCGTAGTACTTCTTGGACGCGGCTCTCCATGCCTCCCTCTGCAGTGACTGAGAAGTTTCAGGTAACTCGGATATCAGCATCCTCCTTCTCTTGTCCACAAAAGAGATGGGTTGTGTATACCTGGAGTCTGTAATGTGGGGGAAGGGGCGTGAGGGGAAAGGGAAGGGGCCGGAGCGCGGGGGGACGGGGAAGGGACCTGAGCGAGAAGGGTTTGCCTGTTGGCGGGCTACTTTTCGGGCATAGTAGCGCCTGGAAGCTGCTCTCCAGGCTGCCCTCTTCAGTCTCTGAGCCTCCTCCGTCAGCTCAGACGTGGGCACGCCCTTCTTCTTGTTCCTGATGAGGTCAAGAGAAGATAAAACAGATGAGTAGGTATGCAGTTCACCAAGCAATTACTAATTCTGTCTGGTGTTTATGGGCTATGGGGAACCTCGGATAACAACACACAGAAAGAGTGTGAGGTTGACATTACTCCATTGTATCTTTGCATAGCAAATACTTGTGCTCTGCTATGTTGATGCTCTGAATTTCCAAACGGAAGGATTTGTAAAGCGCTGTTGTGCATCATCGTGTGTGTAACATATGCCACCCTTGAACATGCTGATTGTACAAAATCAAAGAGAAACCCTCAATTATAAAGAGTTGATGCCATCAATCGATGTTTCATACAATTGAAACATGTTCATGCCAGTCTACATTTGGTTAATTATCCAAAGAACACACAGAAGCAGGGATCTGGGGGTGGATTCTCTCTGAAAGAGGTAGACACCCGAATAAAGTAACTGTAGGCATCATGATTTATTTGGCTCTTTTGCATCTCTGAAATAACTCACCTCAGGTGTTCTTCATGAGGGTCGTAATAACCGCCTGGACCTGCATGAGGTTCCTCCTCTAAAGTTCTTCTCTCTATGTTCTCTAGGTTACCTAAAGGGATCAGAAGGAGTGAAAATTGTCTTAGTCACACAACCACACAGCCATACTAATTCATTTTTACAGCGACCGCATTTAGCCAAGGCTTTTCTCTTTCTCAGGCTATTCTACAAGGCTGGGTATTGTTTGAAAATATTGGATACCGTTGCCAAAACAATGCCAGAGATTCAGCCTGCATCCAAAACAATACATCTTTTGATACGCCATTTTGTTGATCATAAACATTTTTTATACCTGATCGGTTTTGAGGTTCAATACCCAGGACTAGTGTCACAAAACGTGCCATTTTTACAACACAGAACAATAAGATGATCTAGTCCCTGTGACAAAAAAAAAAAAAGGTAAGGTGCATTACTTTTTACACCGGGGCTCTCTTTGTCCGGGCATAGACTGCCTGTGCTCTCCTGATGCTCCGCGAATCTCTCTTCACTCATTTCCCACTTGATTAAAACTGTGTCGATATCACACGGCTCTTCTTTGATGACGAGGCTGCTGGGAGACGTAGGCAGATTCCTGGCTGCCTCCGATACACCTGAGGAATCGGAGGAGTGGGAGACGCAAGACTGGTCCAGACCCATTTGGCTAGGAGATGACGGAAAGGCTGACTCGTGGCTTTGGTAGGAGACATGTGAGGGGGGTCTTGCAAAAAGGCCCACTGTGGAGAGAAGAGACAAAAAAATGTCAGGGGTGGAAGTAACCGATTACATTCATACCTTTTACTAATTACCAAAAAAAGTTGTTTGTGTATTAGTACATTTTGAGTGTGTATAAACACATACACTTAGATAAATGTATGATCCAATGTCTGCCAATCAATACAAATTACTGCTTCCTGTTTACACAAGTACGTGCATGCCCAGTGTACATGAATAGGTATGTGTTACATGCGCTTGAGTATTGACCAACACTTGATTAATGTTGGAAATATGATATTTTTCACACATACAGCTGCAGTGTCTGTGGGATCCCAACCAGTGAGGAAGCAAAGCAAGGGATGAAGTGACAATTCATTGAAGTTACATGAAAAAAATGATTGATGTACTCCTCCCTCCCTTTGCCATTGTTGTCTAACCGGTGAAAGCTACAGTAAAGAGGCTGTATTATTGCTCTAACGTCCTATGTACTCATATTTACGTACAGGAGATGGTCATTTCACACTCCTGCTGCCCCGCTGTCATCTCAGTGTCAATGTAGCTTGGTTCAAACCCGCTCTGCTCTGTCGTCTGTGGGTCACCGGAGGTCTGCGATCCAACGAGGCTGTGCTCTTTTCCAAACAACTCGTAGGTGCATCCCTGTCGGCGTAGCACCTTTAACTCGTGCTGTATCTCTGTAAGACTGCCCTCCAGCCGCTGGATCTCTTTGTCCCTGTCGGCCACCATCCGCTGGTACTCATGAGTCCTGGCACTGTTGACACCGTACAGGACGTTTATTATCGAGTCTATCGCCAACCGGATGGCGTTTTCCACCACGAGGGCTTCCTCGTCGCGCAGGTGTGGGTGCAAAGTTTGGGTTTTAACCAAATTCATCGTCACAATCGAACCAGGTTTGATATTGGAAAGCTATGTGGAGAGCGTCAGCCTAAGCTAGCTACGACGATGCTAGGCTATCAGACGCTGCGGCTCGCTGAAACACCAGCCGCAAACGCACTATACATATAATAAACCCAATAAATTCACATTTAACACACGGATCCAAGGCTGTAACGTGATGTCAACCAGGTGGAAACAAAACGGAGAAAGGCAGAATTGTCTTGAGCTAATGTTGAAGCTACTACACCAGAAACACAGATTTGCTTCCTGCATCCGTCCACACTTCTTCGGCGACAGCGCTTGTCCGTGGATGTTGGTCTGGCGGCCACAGCGCCACCTGGTGGCGCGTACGACTGCTCACACCAACATTAAAGGTCATACGAAAAATGGGACAATGGTCTATACGGGCTTATCATTACTATTAAATAACCAAACCAAGTTTTTTTATTGTACAATAAAATAACAATTAATACAACATGGTAATAGTGCAGAAGGCAGTGGAGATAGCATAACAAAACTAACCCATACACAAATAATTAAGGAAAGGAACAGATGGAAAGTATAAAACACAAAAGAGTAAAGAGTGTAAACATAAAACCTTAAGGACACTCAAAGGCCTGAGTTTTAGGTTTAGCCTTAAAGTGTCTACAGAGGGGGGGGACACTTAAGTGAAAATGGTAAAGAGCTCCAACATATGGGGTGGCTCAAACTTGCATGCAAGCTGAAATTCAACCATGGTGTTCTGTCTGTCAGGAGAAGCAGTGAGTTAAACCAAGTAAGAGCGGAAGAACTAAAAGTGGGGAAAAGTCTGCTAAATTCATGGAGCCCATAGTCCACAAGTGTTTCCTTTAACCCTGCCTGAAAGTGAATTTTACAACTTTTAGGATCTAATGATTTAAAAAAAAGGCATTTAAGTGTTTGTACTGGGAAGTTGATTTACCTAGAAAATGTTTATACACTGTCTATGGGCCCAAACATCTCATGCGTTTGCACTGATTAACTATTGTGATGAATTATTTTTTTTTCAAGCTCACTTTCAGTACATATAGTGATGAATATGTACCATATATGGTTATATATGTTGGAGGTGCTGGAAGCTTAAACCTTTGTGGTTCATGGCTTCTTTAATGACTTCACTGCCTACAAAATCAACAAGCCTTCAATAAAAATTTGCCAGGACTTCATATTTACAACACATTTTAATCTTTATTACAAAAAAATTGGGTCAGTATCAAAATTGCAGTGTTAACATTTTTTAAACAGATAATATCTTGTTTACCGTGTATATCATGTAGAATTCTTAAACAAATCAGCATTTGGAGGTCTAACAAGACATCAACTTACTTTTGGTGTTTGTGAGACCTGAAACTATCGAAACCTTCAGAAACTTTGGGGGACAGGATGGCAGTTCCCTTCTGTCTGGATCTCTTGCAGAGGAACTGCTGCTCCCATGGACATTATGCTCCTGAACATATATTTGTCGAAGTTAGAGATGCATTTGTCTTATATATACAGTATATATATATATATAATATATAATATGGTATTGGGTAATGGAGATAAGGACAGTTTAGCAGAAAGACTTATGTATAAGACAAAACATCTGCTTTGAAAGGCTTAGTTTCAAAATGACTACAATTAGTCGGCTAAGAGCTTTAATCAATGCAAAGTGAGCATAAGCAACTTACCCATTAAGCACTCCACTCAAAGTCCGAAATGCGGGTTATGAGGGTCAGAACCTTCGGGTTCACCGCATTGCTCCTCTTGTTTTCCCGATGCTCTACTTTGGAGCCCTTGTCGGGATTGATCTTGAAGATGCACCTTAGTTTAACAAAACACAAACATTAGATATCAACGAATCAACAATCTTATGAATAAGACAGACAAGGGATGGCGGAGGAGACGGGTAAGGGCATGTATACTGGTGGCTAGTTTCAATTGACCACCCTGTTGTCGGACAATACCCACATGAAGTTTGTGGATGTGTGTGATAATTGTTGTCACAAGAAGGCAGCACAGGGCTCACTTTCCTTCTATACTACTCGTTTGTAGTCTTGATGGGCTCATTCTACAACTTTGATAAAAAATCAAATATGATATTCCAGTAAAGTCATGCACTTGCATCAGCCTGGTTTAGAGGAATCAGGGAGGCGTTACGGGAGAGGGCTGAGATAGAGGTGGTGGATTCTTCTGGTTGTATCATTTTAAATCCAGTTCACTGTATCCAAGGTTGCATATGGCACCTTTAAACTAAACCATAAATCAAAAAATACTTTTCAAAATAACCTTCGTGAATAGCAGATGAGCAAGACACTCCTTTGATTGGAAACTTACTTTATGTTTACCAATACTGACAAAAAGCCTACATCTTGCCTTTACAGGTTGGTCCTAGCCAGAGGAACCTTCATCCATGAAATTAGCAATATGGGACAGTCCTGGGGCTAGATTTTTAGAGCTGTCAATTCGATTATATATTCGAATAGTAAAAAAACAAACAAACATATTCGAAAATCAATATTCGACTGTGGGGAAATAAAGCAGCATTACCATGACTGTCTGCCTCGAGCACTTAAGTTAAATAGCATAGCATTTCAGCTGAAAATAAACAATATTACGAAAGCAAGCCTGAAACAATTACCAGAAAATACCCTCAACGACCAAAAACATCCGCAATCAGAAGCGACTTAATGCACATTCACCTTTGAAGAAACTCCATCGTGGCCCCGAGTTCCGCTGGGTACTGCAGGTTGAAGACGTAGTAACAGACGAACATGCCCACCAGTGCGTCGGTGAAGCTCGCCAAGTCTTCTATTATCACCTCCTGGTCCACGGCCACCATGAAAGCTGCTGCAGGCATTGGACTCGCTCCTGTTAAAAAAAAAAAAAAAAAAAAAAGGAAGAGGAAAATCTATCAGTTCAAATGCATCTATATGCATGCAGGGCACGCACATCCCGGTGCTTCTCACTTACCACATGCAACAATGCATGGTGTGGGCGGCAGGCGTTCTGTTCGAACCTCATCTGTGATCCAGGTTTTGTCCGACATGTGGAACATTCTTGCAAAATCCTCTTTGAAGTGTGACAGTAGCATTAGCACCGCTCCGCAGGGTCCACCACCACCAGCTAGGAGTTCTGCCCTCTGTCTCGCAGCTCCGCTTGACTGAAAATAGTCAAGGACTCTGGCAAATTTCGTGGCCATGGCCTCCTCAAATCCCTCGTCGATGTCGACGCCAGTTAAAATCTTAAAGTGTGTCTTCATGCCGACCAGCGAGAATAGGTAGGGCCATTCCTTCTTAAGGGCACGCGTGTCCTTACCAGACCTTATGTCATTTCTCTGAGATACAAAAGTGTCTGACATTAACTGTTCTATTCTTTTTGCATTCCTCTCATTCTCCAGGAACATTCTTTGCATGCCTCTTTTCTTCTTCATCTGTGCTTCCACATTCACAGGCCCAGATTCCCACTGAATACAGCCGTAGGAGTCCCTCCGTCGCTTCCTATCTTTTGCCACAGTGCTGCTGTCCCCTGGAGTGCTTTTCTGCATTCCCAGCGTCTTCTTTCGGTTGCAGTTATCAACTCTGCACTGAAGTTGTTTTGTTAAAGAATCATATCCACTTCCAACGACCTCATCTTCCATTATGTCTCTGAAAGACGTTGGATACGCGAGGACCATCTTCCGTGCAACTTCTACAAGGTGCCGCTTTAACGGGTTTTTGCAAATAGAAAGGATTTTAGCAGCAATAATGCGAATCGTTTCCCTCCTTTCCTTGGCGGTTGGCCGCTCCTGATTGTCTAATTTCTTCCTCAAAATAGCTGGCAGCACGTTCCAAGGGACTTGAAAACGGTAGTGCCAGTCATTGCCCAGTTGTCTACAGGAACTAGAGCACTCACGATTAGATGGAGAGGAGATGAGGCTACCAAGTGAGCTTCGAGAAGAAGAGGGTCTGCTTCGTCTTGTGGTGACCTGGAGTGTTTCCACAAGAGTTTGGGGTGAGCGGGGGAAATCCTCCTCCATGTTTGAGTGGCTTGCGTCGCTCTGAGCTGAAAAGACACCTAAAACCCACAGAGACACACTTACTTAAAAAGGCACAATGCCCTCCTTTAGCAAGGATAAATTATTGCATATGTACATAAACTACTTTGATGAAATGCATTGCTATCACTTTTATTCAAATGACAGGCTCTTTCTTTCAATATTTGCAACCAATGCAACCAAACATACATTCAAAAGTTCAAATCATAGGCCTTTATGAAGCTGGTGACTAGCGGACACATTCTGTCGATCGTTACCAAGATATGTTTTCATTTCAATGACATAACAGCCCAACAATGTGACTGATGGCAACATGCTCATACTATCTTTTGGGCCTTGACTTACCTTTTACGTGTGTTTGAATGGGTTCGAGTACGCCTGTGAGGTCATTCATCTGGATAGGCTTCGTACTGTCAACCGCTTCCACCCCAACGTCTTGGAAGGCATCCACCATTGGTTGCAGTGTCGCTGGTGTGGTTCTTGATAGCGCTTCTTTGATAAGACTGGCTATGTTTTCCTCCATGGCTAAAAAAGGGGAAATAAATGAGCAGTGAAATGGTGAAAGGGGTGTTATAATAGTTGCAAAACCTCAGTGTCCACAAGCGAATGAGTGGACCAAGCCTCCTGATCAAAGATGGCTCGTGGGGGGAAATAGCGATGCTTTGGTTTCAGTTTGTCAGGGGGAAATAGATGCTTCCTTGTTTTGAGATGTTCTTGAATGTAAACGTGGAGGAAACCATCGTAATGTGTGAGCAGGGTCTTTGAGAGGGATGTGCTGTACATAGCGGTCTCTTCTGTTCTCAGTTGAATAGGTTGTGGGTGTACATATGACAAGTTCTATGTAACGTGTATAAACAGAGCCATCAATGCCTTCGACGGTCATCTTGTATGGTGGATGAAGGAATGAGGTGTGACAGCAAATGGACAGTTTACCAACTTCACTTTTGGAACGACTTTGAGCAACTGTTACACTAATAACTGTCAGCTATAAAACACTTAAATGATATATTAGAGACTTGCAGACTGCAGAGTTTTGAGAGCTCACACGTTTCTCCGATGAATATGAGTGGTCACATTTACCAACCACACAGCTCAAAGCTGTAGCTGTGTGGGAGGGAGGCTGTACCACCTGCTATTTCTCAACCTTTTGTGCACAGTCATTTCAGAATCAACTGACACTCGGGACAAAGATCAGAAGGCTGATAAGTGTGCAGACCACGTTCATCACGTTCTTAAATTTTTCTTTCCGTCTTCTATCTTTCTATCATCTGTGTTCTTGCAGTTTGTGCTTTGAAGTTATTAATCACTGTTGTCGGCAGATGACGGCAGATGACGACTAGATGACAGCAGTGTCTGAGTTTAACTTCTTTTGCAGGTTTTTCATTGTGCAGATATTCACCTCCATATTGACCCTCCTGCTGATCCAGCAAACTCCCCTCACACGCTTCCCATTTAATGTCCGTCTCCAAGTCAGAAGATTCCTCTTTAACCAGGGAGGCGATGCAGCCAAAGGGCTGGTCTCCAGCTGCTCCTCCACCCTCCCATGAAGGTTTCTCCGTCTGGTTATGTTGGTGGGGAAATGCCTCGACTGTGTCATGGTACTTTGGGGAAATTTGCATGGGTGGTGCTGCACCTACACCTGATGAACAGATAAATGAACAGAAAAATGAGTGGGTGGACTTCCTGAGCCACACATCTCTCTTCAGAGGCGATGCCGCAGCCCCAACATCGCCATTGCTCAAGGCCCGCAGCGGTGGAAGAAGTACTCGGATATTTTACTTCAGTAAAAGTAGCAATACCACAAGGTAGAAATACTAAGTAGAAGTTAGTGAGTTCACGAGAATACACGTGAAAATATAGCAACACTGAAGTACCAAAAGTAAAAACAGTCATTATACAGAATCACACTTTTCAGAATCCTATTATAACTGATGATGCATTAATGTACATTAATGTAGCTAATTGTAGGTACTTTATACACTGGGTATATTACTTTATAATAAGAAACCATTTTTATTGTCATATACACATACACGAAATTTGCATGATAGGCAGCCCGGGGAGCCGGGGGTTCAGTGTCTTGCTCAGGGACACTACGACACGTGACACGTCCCAGTCGAGGATCGAACCGTTGACCCTGCGGTCATAATAGTTATGATAATTAGTGGAGTAAAAAGTACAATATTTCCTTCTGAAATGCAGTGGGGTAGAAGTATGTATGTGTAAGTGGCATTTAAGCTAAAATAAAGCGCAAGCGTGTCAACATTGTACATTACTTGAGTAAATGTATTTACTCTCCACCGGTCGCCTGATATCTCTGCACATATTGACTCATGCAGACCGATGTTACTCACTTCTGTTATTAGAGCTGTTGGCGTGCTCGCCATGGTTTATCTCCCTCGCATTGGACGTGATCGGACCGGAGAGTTCATCCTCAGTATGCCTCCAGTCCAACTCCAGACTCAACAGCCTCACCTCACTGTCACTTTCCTCCAATTTCTCCTCCAGTCTCCCGATCTCTCTGTCCCTGTCGGCCACCATACTCTGGTACTCGCGCACTCTGCGGCTGCACGCGCTGCGGATCACGTTCATCGCGGTGTTTATAGCCGCCCTGATGGCGCTTTCTACGGCCAGAGCCTCGTCCTCGTTGTGCAAACTTGGGGGCCACTCAGACAGGTCATCATCTATACTCATGGTCGCTCACTCATGCAGCCGTAACTCTGCATATGACAGCACTGCTCTCTCAGTTTTGCTCACTTTGACCGCGAGCGAGACCAAAATAGCGACGCACAATTATTCTGGAGGAATTTTCCGCAGTCACAGTTTTGTTTCGAGATGTTTTTAGACGTCAGTATTAGTTTCTTACTCCCAGTTTAGGCCAAAATAAAACACACAGGCGATTCAAACTTCTCTCAAGGTATCGCGGTCGGGGGCTGTGTGAACGCTCCGTCTCTCCTTTGCCTTCTTCTTCTTCGAGGTTTTATTTATATACAAACAACGAATTAGTGCATTACCGCCATCAACTGGTATGGAGTGTGGATCAGGCTGTCTAGTACTTACATTATTCAATAAAACAAACAATATTGGTTTGTCTAAGATACTGAAATAGTACTTGATAATACTTTTGCAGAATGTCTATTTTATCAAAATTAGCTGCCTTCTTTCTGACAGTGTATGTTCTAGTGTTTCCTCTTGCCCAGTTGTCGCATTAGCATTTAACATGTTTTTCTACTTTTAGTTGTGTTGTGTTTCGCTCAGTGTGTCCAAATGTCCATCTCTGCGGTTCCTTCCTGCACATGTCATTTCTCTCACTTTCCTCTGAACTCTGTAAAACCACCGTCCCATTCTGCCTTCCTTCCGTTGCTTCTGCCTCCTTTCTTTCCACCCATGCTGTTTGAGGTTTAAGCGGGTCCCGGCCGGGTCTTCTTTCTCTGCTGTGTTTTTATGGGGTTAGCAGCCTAAAAAAGCCGCACTACCGCCAACTACTGGATTGTTGCAGAGGTTTTGGTGCATTTCATTTTTCTAAGAAGCGAATTCAATAATAACAATACTTAGCAGAGCCATCTTATAAAACATGAAATACTAATTTCACATTAGCGAAAAGTACCTTGAATAAAGAAACAGTAGCAAATATTACAATTAATTTAAATAGGAAACTTACCTCAACTGTTGTTGCTTTTCTAAGAATCAGAGGGGATAATAAGCAGAGCCATCACATCAGGCAAAATATAATAATACTACAACTAATAATAATATTAACAATACTACTACTGCTAATAATAATAATACAATAAATAAAATGAACAATACTATAGATAAAATAAAAGTAAAAAAGTACAATTAATTAAAAAAGAAAATCACCTCAAATACCTTTTACTAGCAGTGGTGGAAGAAGTAATCAGATTCTTTACTTAAGTAAAAATAGTATTATCATAATGTAATAATAGTTCAATACAGGTAAAAGTACTCATTCTTTAAAATCATCTCCTGTGACTGACATATTATCACATATGTCATTATTAGATTTGTTAATATTGCAGAGGCAGCACTTTACTGTTACTCTAGTTTTAACTTCTTTATTCGCTGTTAGGTAGTCTAGGTTTTCCCAAATCTGGAGGTCAGGCCCCATCCAGAGGGTCACAAGATAAATCTTGTTTATGTGAAATCATACTCGAAGAGAGGAAACCCTTATTAAACTTATTCACACCTGAAGGGACTCCAACAGACGTTTATTTTGATAAGGGGTCACAAGTCAAAAAGGTTGTGAACCAATGGGTTAATCTCAATAAGGTATTGCACTTTCAAAGTTTCTTTTAATGCAACGACACGCAACTAAGTAACTACCCATTGCTAAATATATGCAGTGGAGTAAAATGTAGCCTATATTTCCCTCTGAATTCTAGTGGGGTAGAAGTATAAAGTATATAAATGTACCTAAAAGTTGTACTTAACTACAGTTGACTTACCTTCCATCTATGAGAATGACGCAGTCAGCAGCCTTCAAAATGACCATACAGTTGAATCAAGACCTTTCTAAAACAGTTTTGACAAAACCTGAACATAATAATCTTCATGAAGCCAAGACTTATTGAAGGACTGTGTGTATACTGGCAACTGATTGTGTTGACGTTTGATTATTTAAAAACAGCCCAGTCCAACACACTGAGCCTTAGTTATAGACATTATTTATACACTTTATCAAAGATTTATTCTTTTCAGAGTAGTTCATTTATTTTGAGATTAATCTTTATTGATCCCCTTGGAGAAATACTGTATATCGTAAGCATTTGACTTATTAGTTTAGGAGCAACCGGCCTCATTCAGGCAATGTGTGAGTTTATCTTCATTAAAGGTAAAGGCAAAGTACAAACACGGCAAATAGAAAATGTTCAGTTATGCATAAAAAAAAAAATCATAGAAAGGTGATAGGAAAATCGCACACATCCACATAACACAGGCAAGTTAGCCAATGCTGAAGCCGTGTTTATGTTTGCTACATGGAAAGAGACATAGTTAGGTACATTGGAATGGTTCATTGCAGGAAAATCAAGCCATAAAAACACACAAAACCTGCATTGACTAAATAAAAAGTGGAACACATAACATACAGTACGCGAGAATTGCATGCCTGCTTAGGACCATTCCCTGCAATGCAATATACATTCATTGTGATTAGTACATTTCAATTCCTCCAAACCAACTGACAGGAACATTTCTTAATCCTCTTGCAGGGAATCAGATGGAACATTTAGGCTGCTTCCTTTGGACACAAAAACAGGCACAAATCCTCCTGCTGTTTTGTTGAGAATGCAGTAATCCTTACAGATACATGGTGGTGGAGTGTCATCAACAGGACTGTTTGGTAAACTGCACTCTGGGCTTTGGATCGGATCCAAAAAGCTGCAGCCAGAATCTACACTATTGGTGTTGAAGAAATCTTCAGGCAGAGTGGAGACAACTTCTTCCTCTTTAATGCCAACACCCAAGACAGAGCAAGGGAGCTGAGTGTAAGAAGATTCCCCTGGAGAAACCATAGCTAAAGGCGGGGAGGCCTCATGTATCACGGGTAAGCCTACATAGGAGGTGTGACATTGAGTTAAGGCCAGTTGTACTGTTGGGTTGTAGAAGACCTGGTTCTCCTCTGGGTCCTTTGTAACGGGTTTCGGCACAACAATCACAGCATCGGTTGTCAAGATCTCCTCAGTTTTGTATGTTAGCACAAATTTGCCGTGAGCTGAAAGCCATTCCTGCAAATTCAGAAGCAATGAAATAGATTACATTCACTGTAGCACATGTTACACACAACATACGCCCATATGCTAAAACTACTACTCTGTGTTATTCACCTTTGATAAATTGGATCATTTCAGCACAGAGGATGATTCCTAATGATTCCGACTGACTTTTCATCCAGGTCAAATTTTAATTTTGGTTCAAAACTTTTGCCCACTTTTAGTGTTTTGAACGGTGTGTTTGGCTAACCACTAACCACTAAAGGAACTACTAGTACACACACCGCTGTACCTCCCCACAAATCAGCTGCTGCTAATCGGGCAGACAGCTTGGTGAGTTTAAATTAGTTTTTGGCAACATTGTATGAAATGCATTATACAATGACTTTGAGACGATTGCTTGCATACATCTCAGCTTGTTTTTGAGTTAGAATGAAATGTATTTGACGATGCTTTACAGCGCTGGTTGGAGTCATTTAATCAAACTTTACAGCAGTGGTCGTTGCGGACACTGGCGGAGATCCACACTCTACTGAGTGCACCTTTCTAGTTACTTATGTTGTGCTTTCTTTTGCACTTTGCATAAAATAAATGACACATCAAGACAGAGAGAGAGCACAAGAGGACATCGCTACCTCACCTGGAGATTGCCTCCATGTTGTTGAAATAGAGGTTCGAAGAAAGGGGCTGGCGTTGGTGTGTGGGACAGAGTTTTTATCTTCATTCTGTAGTACAAATCAAATAACATTTTACTCGTCATATACTTTTGCTTATTCAGAGCAGATCATGTTGATTATGATAATCTTAAATGTACCCTTTGACCAACATTTCGAAATACAGATGAATTACCTTACAGCAGGACGGTAGAGTACAAACAGAATGACTCCAACAGCCACACACACTGGGCCCAGAGATTTCATCAAAATGACTAATGTATTATCTTCTTCTTCTTCTTCTTCTGAGAAAGTGTTGTGAAATAAGACAGAATTTGTGAGTCATACTGCAGAGATGACTGATTATATTAGGTGTTTTTTGAATTATTAATATCTTTATAATCTTTATGACACAAAGGTACAACAATAACTCATACTGCACAACAGCTGACCTTACATATCTATATCCTAACATTTACATGCTGTCAGTGTGCATTATTGTCAGTCAGTGCCATGAAGCCTAGTACTAAAGAAGAAACAGTGGCATTTACCTTCTCCTGCTTTATTTTGCCAGCATGTCGATTGACTCCATTTACTCCAAGTTCCACTATAATATTGTTGATTTGGTATCGATCTCACTTTAATGCAATATGGAGTATGTGGTTTAAGTTCTGACCTTGGAATCCATTCAGAGCTCTTGAGTGATTGGAGAATCTGAGGAAAAGTTGAAACAATCAAACAAACGATTATTGTTCGATCTTATTATGGCAAAACATGTTGATTCAAAGTATGGATATTTATTCAAGAGAGTGGATCGTACTTTGGTCTCAGTGCTTAGAGATGTTTGAAGTAAGAGTTCGTAGTGAAGGACATTTTTGAGGTACTTGTGGTATTCATACCCACTTTTCCAAGTGATGTTGACGGTCACTGGTGTTTCTTGAATCTCAGGTTGATTCGGTGGTTCCAGCTGAACTGATCACAAACATTTATCAAAGCAAATCAACATAATGTGAAAATCCTTTCCAATACAAACAGCACATTTTGCAAAAGCTTAACCTAATGTTTGCTATTCAGTATCTCTCCTGATTAATAAATGTACTGTACTTTGGAAATATCCTAGTTTCTTCAAATGTGTGATTTTATAGGTACAGAATGATGCACACGTCTGCATACATGCATGCATGCAAACCAACACAGACATCAACACACATGTAAGCCACTCAGACACGCACTTTATCAGTTACTGATAACAATGAATGCATGCTTACGGTTGTGTTGTGGTGTAAAATCTTTTCTTAGATTATGACAGGCAGATTTATTACAAAGATTTATGTCATAAAAAACATCGCCTAGAATCCCGTTTTCCGTAAAATTGCAGACACAGCTGTAACTGTGATTCATCAACACGAGTGGACAGGAAAAGACCTCCCTAAATTAAAAACACAATGACAGAAAATTACCGTTTGTTTGTGAGGCACAGACACAAACATTCATTTCTAAAAGAAGAATTGAACATTTTCATTTTTTCATATAATGCAAGAAATGAAATTACCCCTCAGATTCAATGAATTTCAGGCTGTAGGTGGTGTTGGACTGTCCTACGGGATTACCAATGATGTTCAAGACGCAAGCAACCGTGTCCCAATAGGCACTCACACATGAAAATCCTTCAACTACGGAAGTGGGAGGAAAGGATTATTGTCATGTACATGTTGACACAATTTATGAGATTTACAAAACAACATATTTCAATTGATTTACTCAAAGACAGAATGATCCAGGGGTGGAAGAAGTATTTAGATCCTTAACTAAAGCAAAGATAAGTTATATTATTAGATATTTACAGATATTTAAGTATCATTTTACTGCTGTAGCTGGTTAAGGTGGAGCTAGTTTTAACTACTTGTATACAGTCAGGTAGTTTAATCTGGTGGTTCTCAAGATAGGGATCTGGCTCCCTCCGCAAGATCACAAGAAAAATCTGAGGGGCAGTGAAATGATTAGAGGGATGGGACGAAACAAAAAGCATAGTTGTGGTACACAATAAAAAAGACTGAATGATTTTACCTCTTTGGGCCCTGAGCAGTTATTAGTTAAGTTAAATTAAACAACTCGCAGAGATCTCAAATTTGACAGGGGGCCCCATCAACACACTGCTTTTCATAGCTGTCACAAGCCAAAAAGGTTGAAGCCTTTGGTTTGATCTCTAACAATGTGTAGCATTTTATAAACGTAAATGCTTTTTAAAGTAAAATCGGTAAAGTAACCAGCAACTTCAGCTGTCACATCAATGTAGTGGAGTTTAAAGTACAACATTTCTCTTATTGTAATATAGATATTATGTTACATAACTTAGCTCAGGCAAAGTACCTCAAAATTGTGCTGTAAATGTACTTTGTTACTTTCCACCACTGGTGTAATCAAAACTTTACTCAAATGTTAATCACAGACAGATGAGATAACATGAATTTCTGATTGACATTTCCATGGTTTGACATTTCCCTTGAACCTCCTACTGTGGGCACAATTATTCATACAGAGGAAATCATTTGACCAAATGAACACTGGCAACAAGATGAGATATGTTGTGAAGGTGCCTTATTAAAGAATTTCCCAAAGAGCAAAACATCTGGGTGTCAAGTGAGCTGTACCTTTGATGCAGCTGGTCACTGCCAGGATGCTGGAGCAACAACACACGAACAGGAGCTGCAGACCCTTCATGACTCCATGGATGTGAGTATGACACTGTGGATATGGATACAACATTTGTATTATATCTACCGCTTCTGTAATACTGGACATTTATCATTCCAGTCTAGGCCAACATGAATTTATCTTTCTGTAATATACACTTACGATACACACACAACACAATCAGAAATAAAGCTATATACCTCAAGTTTACATTATTTGAAAAAAGATAAGAAAATCATTAGTTGCCATGTGTGCTATTATGTGTAGTGAATGGAAAAGTGCTATTACCTCAAGGGCTCTCCTGGTGCTGTTGATGTCTCAGACAATGAATGAGAGATGGAACTGAGGTTTAACTTATCACCGGTTACATCACAGGAAGTCAGACCTTATTCGTCACAGTATTTTTTTCTTATACCTTTGATTTGGTTTTTTGGCACCAGCTCTTTTACTCATAGTGCCAGCAAAACAATTTAGGACTGAAGATAATTCTGTTTCTTTTCTATTTGATGCACTGTAGAGTGAAGCGTTGCCTTTGTGATTAATATCATTTAAATGTATGTCCTGTCTTGTTACTATTGGTAATATGTTTTGCTGTACTGTTTGTAATCATGTTTAAGTTGTAATTGAAGGATTTTAAGAATCAACTTTGTCAAAAAACTTTGTCCATCCAACCCGACAGTCGGAATTAATGGAAAAGTTGGCTTCGTGCCACAGTAACCTTTGACAGCACAAGGTGTTATTCAATCCTGTTATTATCAGTTGGGAAGCAAAATCAACCCCTTTCTGTCGGCCTGGAGAATAATATTAATACCTTCATTTCATCCCATCTGTATTACCATAAATCAATATTTGTCATTTAGCAGAAAAGCACTAAATCGTCTACAATTAGTCCAAAATGCTGCTCGAGAATATCCCATGTTAAGCATCCCTTCATTGGCTTGCCATTGAGTCCGGAATACATTTCAAAATTCTAGTAATCACTTACAACAATACATGGATTTGCCCAAAGCTATATTTCTGATCTGCTCAGCCCATGTGTACAAAGGTGTGCACTTAGTTCAGCAGAAAAAGCTCTTCTCACAGTTCCTAGTCTAGACTCGCAACCAAAAGTGCAGTTATCTATATGAAAAAGGTAGGCTGGTCTCCACTTGCAACAAGAAGGGTTCGCTGTCATTTGTGTCCACAAATGTCTTCTATTCACATCTTCTCACCTTGAAAACCGGACCAAATCTCAGGCCTGTTCCAATTACCTCTCGGACAAATACTTGGGAAGACTCTCATCCCATTGGGTGAATTGAAACTTGTAATTTGGACCCTCTCAGAGCAACCAGTAACTGTTGCTGATGCGGTTTGTATGTGAGTATGCGTGACTGGCTGTGTTTCGTCTATTCTTATTTCTCCTGCAGGACTCAGATCTCTCTCAAAAGAGATCTTCATCTCAAAGTGACTACCTGAAATAAAGGTTACAATAATATTGTTCTGTATGTTTGTATAATGTCTGCTAATGGCACTCCCTAAACTTAATATGTCCTAAAAGGTTAGATACCATTGCAACATGCGGACATGTGTGGGTCCATCAAATAGCAACATACAGTATCTACTTACGCTCTATGTTAACTTAGATTTTATTCAAAAGGTCAAAAACTAATAGTTTTTATTAATTAACTACTGATTGGCGTAGGCTAATAGAAGTAATTGTTTTCTTAATAAATACAAATTTTATTGTACAGATGATAACAATTTCCTCCAAGTATGCTCTTTTTACTGACGTTAAAGTTGCAACAGGATGGATGGTTACAGCGGTTACTGAGAAAATGCATGCGCAAGGAAAACAGACATTATCTGACATCTTGATAAGGTAGCATGCATGCCGGTGCCACAGTACAAGCCAATGACCATGAGAATATGAAGCTGTACATACAGTGACAAAAATAACAAAACAAAAAAAATCATCCTCCAGCAGTACGAATCAAGGCAATATGTTCATCCCTTGGTGCATGTCTGTAGAGTGTGACGACCCATCTCTGAGTCCTGTTTTCTGGCTCTAATTTGTCTTTCAGGGGTTCGTCTTTCGACACCTGAGCCTGGTGGAGTTCCAGCTACAAAGTCTCTCCACCTGAACGTGTATGCCTCCTCTTCCTTGGCTGACACAGCTGCTGTTTAGTTTACTTTGTTTCAGGCATCCACACATGCTGACATTACTGATTACTGACTCTCCATGTTTGTAATAAGATTCTGGAGTGTCCCAATAACAATGATGGACTGCCCAGTGCTTTATTATGATCTACTAATAAATTGATTCTTTTTTCCTGTCTTCAAATCGTCAATTAATTACTGATGGTCTGATCTGCATGTAAGTCAACAACAACAAATATAATTGTTATTTTGGCACACTCCAGTCTCAATAAATGTCATCGCTGTCTCTCTCTCCAATCAAATCTCTCTCAAATGTCTTTAAAGCAAACAAACATAATAACAAATGTTATAAAAACAAGGAAACCTGATTATATACAAAGTGCACAACTAAAACATTTCAAGATTAACAGAATATACAGGATTACTGATTGTGTCAGTGAATCAGCGGCGATAATCACGGTGTTTCAAGGAGTTCGGTGTCAGAGTTGCTGAAGTCGTCTTCGATAGTGCTACATATCATCCACTGCTTGACGTAGTTAGAGTTCAAGCTTTTGTGCTCGTGAAATAAGTCAGAGTGCATCTGCTCCGCTGCGTTTGAGTCTGAGGCTCGAGGGCTGCCGCACTCTCCAAAACCACTGTCAATAGTGTCCAAGTCCACGTGAGGGTAGCCGTCTTCTGACTGTTCGTTTGAGGAGAATGAGTCTAGTGACACCCTCTCTGGTTCATTAAGCTGGGCATGTGGCTGAAAGTTTATATTTTCCATTGACAAGTTATTCAATATTTGGTTTTCATGTTGTGGTAATACCCCGCTTTGCCTATGAGGTCCCTCTAAATCATAACCAGCATGTTCTCTGTTGCCTTCCTCAAATGAACCAAAGCGTTCTCCCTCTTGGTAACTTCTGAGGGGGTTTACAGAGCTCTGTGACGCGACTTCCTCCTCAAACTCCTCTTCTCCAGATAGAGTCACAGTGTGGATGGAGATGTGTCCGGTGGAGTGTCCGGTGCCCTGTGAACTGCCACCGTCCTGGAAGAACAGCAGCGAGTTGCTGTGAGGCTGCAGCGTGTGGAGGAACTGACCACCCTGTTTCATCTTGTTGTCCTCGCTGTAGCATTGTTTCTCGTTGTTCCATTGAAGGACGTCGTGCTGCTTCTCGCTCATCATCTGAGCATGTGAGTTGATCTTCAGGTAATCGTACTCGCTGAATATGGGCTTCACCCACTCCTGCAACAGAACAAGTGGAAAACATGAATCTGGAATATTAGCTTAAATAAATCGAAACACAGGCCAATAAATATTTAGAGGAACTTATTTACATTCTTGCTGAGGGTTTGATTTACGATTGAAACCACTCACATATCGGTACGGTAAATATGAAGCCGGAGCCAGCAGGGTTAGCTTAGCATGAAGTCAGGAGGCAGGGAGGAACTGTTAGCCTGGCTCATGGGCTGATCGTGCATTAGTTCTAGCACGCAACTCCCAGTAAAACCACAACTTTTCATTTTCACACTTTGGCCATTATTATACACCTCATCAAAAGGAGAGAACCTACTCTTTATCTAATCTACGTTTCAGTATGTTTTACTCACTATTACTGCTTGTTTGAAGTGTGAGACATTATTACTTGGGGATTTTCAGCAGGATCCATCAGAACATTAAGCTACGATTGTACACGTCTATATACATCTAATAATTAGCCCAGTGCAGACACAACATGACACTGAAGTAAAGGAAAATATTCCATGGGGTGCCTGAAGTGAGTTCATCAGTTCAAATGAATATCTTGTATATATTTTTGGAATAACAATAAAAGGTTCTAACCTTGGATTGAATACATTGCTATCTTAGGCATGAAACAAGATGATTTTCAGAGTCCAGCTGTCAAATAAAACGTCAGCAGCCTGCAGGGATTCAGCCCGTTTTTATGTTTAGTGCTCAATTAAGAAGTAATATTGTACAAATCTCTCCACAAATCTGCATGGCTGCATGCTACTGAAATGTGAACTGTCTGCAGCCGCATATAGCCTCCATTCAGCAAGGTGATGGCCAGATAAGCCTAAATCTGTATCTTCATGCAAAGGCCACCACATCCTGAGGTACAGAGCTCAGCATCACTGAACTGTCTCTGATCTGCTGAGAAAGCAGGCTGCGCCGCAAGAGCGAGATAGCGCAGTCAAACTAGAACAATGCTTTCAAATAGAGCTGGTACAGTCTGTTGCAGTGATCCCGAAGATGTGATATAAAGTACAAAGAAACAGCGTAGAGAGTAACAAGGATTCTACTTTGCCTGTCACAAAGCACGACACAGCCGGCATGTTGTTTCACTCTCACACTGTCACCTACTTTCGCACCAGATTTAGAATGATGTAAATTATACGTTTACAAATGACCTACATGCAACCGCATGTAACTAAAAGAATTAAGTAAATTAAAATCCAGTTTGATGAATTTGAGAGTGCAATATCGACACTCTGTCACTATCTTTCATTTAAAAAACAGTCTTTATGATGGAGGTCTGGTGGAAAATTGCCTGTGGAGTATTTCAACGTATTTAGAACTAAACACAGATCTGTCATCAATACATGAAAATTGTTTGATGCCAGATGGAGATTAGTTAAAATTCTGACAAAGGTTGAGCAGCATCTGCACTCTCTACCTAAAGTAAACTCCTTTGGAGCAGATTGCAGTCCAAAGTCCACTAATTAAGTCTTCAAAAAGGCATACGTGGTTATCAATGACCTGACAAACGTCCTCAATAAACTAATGTCATCACATATATGTGTTTATCGTTTAAAACAAATAGAAACAAGTTAAATTTTCTTCCAGAAGTCACAAGACTTGTGAACAGAGAAGGTAAAATTCACATGCACCTTCTGACATTTGTGCCACAGACATTATCTCATTAAATCATATTTTAAAAGAATTGCTCATTCAATTGTATTTATGTGTCTTTTTATGTTCGTAAACAAGCTTGCAAAGACCCATGAGGGACATAGTATTTTTAATTTAATCTAATTAGAGCACAAAATGTTGCTCATTTAGCCCAGTTTAAATAGTTGTGCCAGTTTAAATAGTTGTGCTAAATAAAGCACAACTATTTCCTTTTCTCTCTAGTACTTCCTGATCTCTGTGTTATTTGCAGCAGTAGCACCCTCTGCACGACCAACATGTGTAACTGCACACAGATCTCAAGCTGCTGGGTTTTTTGAGCTTGAAAAGGTTCACTCAGAAGTAACAATATATCCCGATATTGTTTGACAGAATACAGATAATGTGATGATATTGTAAGGATGACTATTTGTGTTTTTAATAGATACAGTATTTAAAGATGACATAACTCTTAAAAGCAATCATGAAAAGCAAGATGGAACATGGTGACAAGTGACTTTAGGGCCATGTCCTTTTCACTCAGATAAAAATGTCTCATAAGACCAGGAGAAGATTACCTCAAAAAAGCAATATGATACAACATCTACAGTACATCCCTCACTATACTGATATCATTGTGATACACGTTATAAAACAGCAATACTGAAATCTGCAGCTGAAGTTGGTGAAAAGTCTTTTTAGTTTGTTTGAAAACTTGATTTTGTTTCCTGGGTTTCAACTGCTTAACAGCTGTTCTTTATTGACTGTAACTAACTGTATTAACTGTACAGCATTTGTGTATCTATCTTTCTTCAACTTTTACCATTCTTGGTTTTACTGCGCTGCTTCAGTAAGTCAAATTCCAGTGTACATTGCACATTTGGCGAATGAAGCCATTCTGATTTATTGGACACTTCTGCCAAGCAGATGCTCAGTCACTTTAATCATGTTTGTTAATTTTAGAATAATTGTATACCATACATATTTCTATGTACTTTTAGATAAGTCATGTTTGACATGTTTTGGGTTTCTTATGCCACGCAAGAGGGAAATTCTACTAGTTCTAGTCCCTTTTGGCTACATAGTCCGACAGAAATCAAAGCTGCGTTGAAATCGCATTCATTTTCTTATTTTTACTTTTAATACATTCTGCAGCTGCCCTTAGAAAGAATGTACTGTTGCATGCGGTTTGCATTCAATTGAGACATACTGTACTACGTCATAACATGGCACCTTAAACTACTTGCTCATATATCTGCTGCTCAAAGGATTGTGGGTTAGAATTGCCAGAAAAGCACGAGTTAGGACTTCGTATGTTAGTTTGGGTATAGGAACACACACATGGTCTGCTCTCCATCAGCCTTAACATTAAATTAGCACACATGAATAAAGTGAGTGGGTTTCATTGAAAACAAGAATCAGTCTGTTTGTCAAACGATAGGAAGAAGAATTTAAATTAGGGGAAAATGTAAAAAAAGGTGATGGAAAAGATAATCATAAAAACATTAGCATGTCAAGCCTGACACAAAGACGCTGACAGATCTGTACAAAGGGGTATTTTCCACTGGGGTGGAAGAGGTCGGGCTGTCATACACACACATCTACCCACGGCATGTCAGACAGATGAAAAACGAAAAGCCTCTTGAAGCCCCTGCACACTGAGTCATTCACATCATAAATGCCCTTAAATGTGAAGTCAAGGGAAAGTCCCATCCAGCGGGGTCCAGATGTACTGAAAGTCCCCACATGGGCAACACCTGCTGGGTACTTTGGAAATTACACACAAAGCCCAAAGTTTGTTTTGCTTTCTCTTACCTTAAAGTTCCCTCCATAGATGAGATCGAGGGGCTTGAAAAACTCCTCTGCCTTGGGGATGTATAAAATCCGTTGGAGTTTTTGCTGCCACCACCTGAAACGAATATGAAATGACTTCAGAACAAAAAAAACACAACATCTGTAATTCACTTTTGATGAGGTGATTGTTCCACAGTACAAAGCTGAAGTCGACTGAACTTTGGGATAAAGTTTTTAGTTCATTCAGGGCAATACTGTCCACATATGTCATTCCACATCGTTACCATTATGTGCTAATTTGCAGTGTTAGTTTTCACCCATTTGGCTCCACTGGCAAGAAAAAGAGTGTCATATCTATAAGTCAGAAATAAACACTCAGTCGCCAATAGTGGTGTCCCCGATTGAGAATTTACATAGTCAAATCTGATTGGTCAAGTCTCACCTATCGTCGACTGATCTTCAAATCTTTTATTTGCCCTTTTTATTCAACCTTTGTGTATCTATAAAGAAATAAGGATGCTAATTTTATTTTTTTCCCCTGACAATAGCATGCCCTCGTTAAACGATAAGATTACTTAAGGGCGGCTGTGGGTGAAGTGCTAACAAGCCGCCCAGCTGCGAACCATAAACAATACAGAAACAGGTTAAATCAATCATTCAGCAGCAGCTGCAGTGTATGCGCAAAACAGGCAACTGTCCCCAGTTCACCCGTCTGAGGAGGGTTAGCAGCCACCACGATGCGTGCATGTCTGGGATTCAACTTCATGGTCATGTTGGAGGCTGCAGATTGTGGTGCAGTTGAACTGAGGCGTTTCTAGTTATTTGTCTACACTCGTTGATATAACGAGTATATCGTTATGTCAACGATATACTGTATATCAACGATTATATATCAACGTTATATAACGTATATCAACGTTATATCAACGATATACTGTATATCGTTGATATACAGTAGTTGACAAAGTATTGAGTCTGCAAGCATAACACGATACAATCAAGCAGCACCACAAACAAACAGACAATAGTGTGCGCTTGAGTTGAGCTTGTGTTCTTTCTTGTCACTGTGTGCCGTTAATAAGTGAGGTGTCAGCTCTCACACTGATGCTCTGCATGACTTCCTATGTCTGCGAGCCATTTCAGTGCAAAGTGCCGCTGCACGTACAGCGCAGCAGTGGTTTCTGTATATGTGGGAGGTAATGCCAGGAAAGGGTAGATCGAAGCAGTGAGAAGCTTTTGCTAATCGTTTACTGGAAGACAAAGCGTTGCTGACCTTAGGACTCTCTTTCAAGCTTTGCCAAGTTCTTTTTCTGTGCAATGAATGTAGATTCAATTAATTGTAATTTCAAAAGGAAATTTAACCTTTAAATATGATTTGCTTTTATTTTTATAATGATAATAGTTGGTTCAGTCCAAAAAATCTATTTCTACAAGCTTCTCCAAAAAGCTAGAACTAATGACTGAACATCGAGGCCCACCAGTTTGACAACGAATGAATAAGGCGTTTGAGTCGGCGCGGTAAACGCCATTAAGTTGCAAACCCGACTGTATTTTGAGAATTATGGAAAAGTGGACCACTTAGAATTGTTAATCAAGAGAAATTTTGACAAGTTATCAAGGTTCTGCTGGTAGCTCAGCACCAACAGCCCAAGACTCAAGGCTCAGAAAAGGAACAGGTTCAGATCAGGGTCAGATCTGCATACGTGAAGGAAAAAAAAGTGTTTTCAGTACTCACGGTTTTTTAAAATAACCCAGCAACAGAACAAGGACAAGAATGACGGACAGGGTGACGTACCACCAAAGGCCATTAGTTCCTGTAAAGGAGACACAACGTATCAATTATCTACTGACAGAAATGATATGATTCCTGTTTCTGAAATGTTTATATGAAGGATCAATGCAGAAACGCATACTCGTATGATGGTTTAAAGCATGTAAACAAAAAAATAACATCTGTGACTAGCATGAGAACCAAAGTTGATTATTTCATGGCTCCAGGCCGGAAGGTGCACTTATCTTCTACCTTCATACGTTCCTCTAATCCGCCAATGTGCAGCGGAACTCCACTCGCTCCATGGACCGAGATAGGGATTCTCAGGACACATCTTGGCCTGAACATCCACAGTGTAGATGACATGTGGTTGTAGATTCGTATGGTCTAACAGAGCCTTCTTCTCTGTCGCAAAAAAGGAAAGAGCTGGATCCTATAAGAAAGGAAATAAAAGCAAAAGGAAATCTTTGGATGGCTGTCGTGAGCAGAGACAACTGACAATAATAAGCTGCAACAGCCTCTTGATTTTGTTTTGGTGTTTTTGCTCACATATCACCTTCGAAAACTCTTTGTTGTCTCTTACGCGCACCCTGTATGTGAGACAATCGTCTTGGTTGCTGTGGTCCCAAGTGATGTTGTAGAATATGTCGGTGTTTGTCACACGAACATTGACAGGAGGCGAAGGTTTCACTGTGAAAGTGAAGTCCCAAAGGGACCAGGGGGGGACATTATGAAAGTGAAAATGTGTGTATGCCAACAATACTCTACACCACTACAGGCAGCTGAACCTTATTTTTAGCTATTGTCTTAATCTGGAGGGTAAAGCAGGTGGTTGGAAGTTTGCTGCCAAACGACGATTTAGGTATGCAGGGGAAGTTTGTCAGTACGATTCTTGTCATCTCTGAATTTTCCTGAACTTTCAAACCAAACAGAAAATGGTTTATTGTACAGTAATGTGATGGCTGTATTCAACAAGTGTTTTACAATTGTAAAGCTGTGTAAAATATGCTCACTGGAAGAATTAGAATAACTTAACATGTAACTTCTCATTAATCACTTTTAGACACATTTTCATTTGACTAAAATATAAAGGATGTGATTGCTCTGTGACCTCTTTTCATTTCCGTGTTATCCTCCTTATCTGTTCAGCAGAAATGACGAATACATAAATGTCAAACTTCTCAGTGATTATCAGTTTAACTTACCCACATCACCCAGTGCCCATTCGGGTGACACACTGGCATTCCCTTGATCGCCCTGTCGACTGGCTGTCACGGTACACATGGTTTCAAGGAATGCAACTTCTTCAAGCATCTCCGGATACATTACGCACCAGGACTGAGGGGGTTTGACTTCACAGCTTCCATTAACCACAAGATCTTCATAACTACAACAGATAAACAGCAGTGTGATATTATCGATAATGCCCGGTGACGTCAAACGACGTCTCAGCACCAAAGGTTGTGGTTTGTTTTTTTTCATTATGGAAAATAACAATCTATCTGATTATTCTCTCACTTTATTGAATTATCCATTTGTCAAAGAAATAATAAAAAGTCATAAAATAGTAAAAAAGTATTGTAATAATTTTCCACAGTCCACAGCGATGTGTTCAAATTGATTATTTGAATTAACTGTTGTCTATGTTATCGCCATTAAATGAATGACATATATCAATTGTATCATTAAAACAATTCATTGTGGTTAGTCTGTGCCGTAGTTTAGAAACAGCGTCGACATTAAGTTAAGATACGATAGAACTTTACATTACATAGTTTGTCCACCAGGAAGCACTTGCAAGTTTATTTTTCAAAAGTAAAATGTTGCCACTTGCTTGCTACAGATCTTGAACAACCCAAAAATATTCATGGCATACTTTCATGTTTTAATAAATAACAATCAGCAGCATGTTGATTGTTATTGCATTATTTAACTCTCAAACATCAATATGAATTGGGTCTACTCCTTCAATGACAGTAAAACATGAGATAAATTCCCCATCATGGCCTCAGTGAAGGATGTTTTGTATTGAAATCATTCTGATGGGCAACGCTGTGAGGAAAGTGCTATAAAGACAACCAATTAAATCTCTTCAGCAAGCTGCAGGGTTTCCATTACATCAAAGCAACTGTTCTGAAGCAACTCCCATTTTCAAAATATGGCCGAAAGTTGCCCACAAGGCAATAACAACTGACGAAGGATTTAAAAAACAGAAAAATAAATTCAATCAAAATGTTACTAATATTAATAAGAGCAAAATATTCAAATTTACCAAACTCGGGAATCCCGTAATTCTGATGTGGGGGGGGATAAACAGCTAGCGCACTAACATTTGAATAAAAGTTAGCGGGGCTATGATGAAGTCGCTTACTGTAATGCATCACCATAAAGCATATTTATTGTACCTGCACTTGACTGTGAGGAGGCCGGAATATGTCGGCACAGAGTCTGAGCAGGAACAGTTCAGAGAAACCGTGTAGTCCGTTGTGCAGGTGACATTGCAAGACGTGACTGCAGCAGAAAAAAGAAGTGCAGTCAGTTATAATTGTATTTAAATATTTAACATTAATGCTGTACCAATGTCTAATCCATTAACTGTATTTGTTTACCAAACCAATCTCACTGAAGTGAAGTCATTTAATTTAAAAGGGAAACTTGGCTGAGGCCACAAGCATCAAGACAATCACACAACAATGTACAAGAGTAAAACAGATCTTAAAATGAGTACATTACTGTGGAGAATTGCCTTTAGAAATACATAACAGACCACAAAAGACAGTGAATAGATAAGCCAACTTACCACCGTGGACATACAAAGTGAGGTCCCACAGCAACAACAGGAGCCCCGGTCTGAGAGCCATAGGGACGACCCACTGTTATCAGCTGCTGGTTAGAAGGAAATACAGCAGCTGAAACTAAATATAGGCACACTTGTTGGAAATCTTTCTTCTTGTAAGAGAAAAAAAAATTAAAACACTGAGAGAAAATGAAAAGATTCAGCCTTTCTATGGGAATTTGCTGCTAAATTAATTATCAACTTCACAACAGCTCCAAAATCTAAAATCAACATCATCACTAGTATTAAAATCGATAGTTAAATAATTCATATCAGAGCATTCATGTTTCTTAATCAGAATTATAAGGTAATGAAATAAATTACAAATGATCTCTCAACCCAGCTAAACATCTTAAAAAGAACATTTTCCATCGACATTGTTTCTGTTCTCATATTTAATACAGTTAAAGAATCGATCATCTTACCTTCTTTCAATCTAAAATGCTGCCACGTAATCAGCCAACACGCTAACAGAGTCACCGATGCACTGACGTCTGTGTGAGAACGTTCAGTGGAACAATGTTTCGGGTTTGGTTTGTGACTGCGAAGGCATCATCGACATCAGCGGTGTGACTAAGGATGTGGTTTCAGACCCTTTGAACAGTGTCTGTGCGGTGCCTTCCCACCACATCCACGCTGCTCCTATGAATATGCAAAAGTTAACCAGAGAACCAAAGAAAGTCAACAGGAAACTGACATCTTCTAAAAAAATCATTAAGTCATCCTATTTGCGTCAACTAAATAAAGAAAGACAAATAAAAGAGAAGTGATAAATCAATTTTCAGCTGAGGGAATGACACAGATACATACTGAGATATTTCTTCTTTCCCAAATAGTTCATGTTCTACTGAAACTAATCACGAAATGTATTAACTATCTCAACGCAACTCCTTACTCATATAATTTATAACATTCATCAGAATGCAACTAATACACGTTTCATTACTGAGATAAGTCTGTACGCTGACACCAGAGATGTTTTTTAACACCTTTCAAAAGACCCTTTTCATAAACCACCTACATGTCTGAAATAATTCAGTAGTTTCCACCAGAGTGTAGACCTGCTAAATGAGTCATACTCCTGCTGTGGAGACCCTCAGAACAGACTTTTAATCATTAAATTAGCTCTAAATGTCATTAACTCAGTGCTTGTTTAGCTGTATATACATGTTCTCCACCAGCAGTTTAACATAAGAACCATCATTCATGTGTATATTACATGCCATTTAAACTATCTTACAGCGCAGTGCTGTTTTTGTTTCGTACAATGGGTGGGCCCTTGTGGTATTCAAATCACCAAGTAGGTGTGCAGATGCATCTTGTACCAATATTAGTCAAATGCCACAAAGCTGTACACACTGTGTGAAGCTGTTCCTGCCATTGCACTTGAGCAATGCAATGGTCTTAAAACTAGGGTTGATCTCCATGTGCTGCGCCGTGGAGCTGCAACTATGTGTCGGGTTAATCGATTAGTTGATGGACAAAAAAAAAAAAAGTAATTTTCCAAGCAAAAGTGTGAAACATTTCACAACCACAGCTCATCAAAAGGAGAATTGGGTGCTTTTCCAGATCTTACACGATAGTTAGTTAAATATTTTTGGGTTTAGTGCTGTTGTACTGTGACTGCTGGTTAGGCTGGGTTAAATGGAGAGGATCAATTCAGGATTAAAGATGCAGTACATATTTTTGCTCTTACCTGTGCTGCTTGTATTGGTGTGGGTTGCCTAGTTTGGGAGATATCAACTGTAGGCTCATGATTTCTGGAAAGAGACATTGCTGTGTGAGTTTTTCAAATGTATCTTTTTGGCGCTTTGAGCACCACAATCCGAGTGCCATACAGTCTTATATTCTATTATACTATACTATTATATTCGAGAGGAGGCAGACATTTTTATGACCAATATCTCCAAAACTAAGCAACACACAACAAAACAATATAGATTCATAAATAGCACTACAGCACTTTGTTTTTGTTTGGGGGCGAACTCTCCCTTTAATATAGTTTAACTTAATGTTATGCTGTATTATTGCATCACCTAATACGATGCTGATGGGGGAGTGTTTGTTTGACTACTGCTGCTCCGTCATTATACTGTAAGCTTCGGTGCAGGTTAGAGCCCAAAGTCAAGTCCAGTGGTCTCAAACCTAATCGGTTAATGCAGCCAAAAGCCTAAATGTTGTACTACCACTAGAGGTCATTATAAGGGAGGTTCATTTGCAGTTAACAGGCATTATGAATTCATTTGATGTATATCTGCAAATGCACTCACATAACTTAATGCTTTCTGGTTCTTTCCACACAGTTATTTTTACTTTTAACAAACCTACAACATGAAGTATAAAGGATGGTAGGCACAACATTTAACACAAGTGCAGATTTGACCTGACAGTCGTCTGCTCACAGTATTCTCAGACTGTTGTGCTGGCTCATTCTCTGTGGCCATAATCAGTATATAGTCATAAGTAAAGGGATACATCATGTTGGTTACCTTAAGTTTGAAACAATGGAAGCAGAAAGAGCAGAAAATGCAGCTGTGATGTGGGTGAAAGTCTGTAGTGTAATGAAAATGACAAGATATGGTGGAGCAAACAGGCTGCCTAAAATATTCTATTATCTGTTGTGTTAATTTCCACTGAATTACTGTAGATGTGAACTTTTGATTTATTCTGTGTTGACAAATAATGTTGTTTGTCTCTGTATGTAATATGGGAGATTGTGTGTGGAGCATGTTTTTGCTGTTTTACAAACTATAAAAACAGTTTTGGTGTATGTGTCGCCTGTCTTTAAAACTGGAACTTGTGTTTCTAACTGGAACTGAGGTTTAAGACCATAGTGTGTACTACATCTCTATCAGAGGGGACATTTTGACCAGGTCACAACAACCATTATTATGGATATCTCTCACATTATTCATAAACAAAATAAATGTAATGTAGTGAAATCATACATCTGCCCATTTTAATGCCAGAGACGATGCATAATACAGAGATATGTTTATTATTATACTTATAAAGGGCCTGATCAGAGAACCTTATTACGCCATTTTATTGCTTTTTTTCTCTTCTTTGGTGAGTTTTGGTAAAATCTCATCACATACAAGCCCGTGTTTACATCGATATATAATGTCACGTTTTCAAAAAGTCACCTCATTGCAAAGATGTCAAATGCAGAATAAAATCAAGACCAAAGCACAATGATAATGCATGACGACAGACACCTTGTTAACTACAAATTAGGACATTTTTGAATTTTTTTGTGTGGGTGATAATCTACCTTTGTTCATTCAGATTGCCATCCTCCTCTTCTCCCACGTCCCATTGGCAGGTCACTGCTGGTGTACCACAGGGCTGCTGACATTACTGGCATGCAAGTCCAGAGTGTTCACTGAGGATTGGGGGGGGGGGGATGTATGCTGGTGAAGCGCCACATGAATTGATGGCCATTGCAGAAATGCCATCTTTGCACTTCTGCAGAGACGGATGGAGGCGTTGCTGTTACAAGGCGCAGAGAGAGAATGGTGTTTCTGAACAAAGAGAGAACCATGTATTCATGCGAGGGGGAAGTAGGCCAACAAGCCTCTCTGTGAAAAAACTGGATGTCATAGAGAGAATGATTCCACCTCTGATAAGGAGGCGATATATTGCTCACTATATTCAACAGGTTCAAGGGGGTAACACACCAGCAATGAAACCTTATAAATCGGCTTAACGCATACAAATTATAATAAGTTATAATAACAAAAAATAAAACAGTCACCCATAGAGAATATCAGCAATGCCAGTAGCCTTCAAAATAAATATAAAGTTAATTGAGGCTTATAACTGACACACAGATCTAATTTTAGTAACAGGAATAAACAGTACAGTAGAAGCATAAACTTGTACTCACTGGGGAACTCCGTACATGAAGTCTTGTTTCGTTTTCACATCGCGGCCTCTAGTTATCTGAGTCAGTTGAGACTCGATTTAGGTCTTCACGGTTCTCTAATTTAAACAGGTCACATGATCCAGTGAGATCATAAAACCCATAACTTCTCTTTTTAGTTTGCTGCAATCTGAAATCTGGCGAAAGTCTTTGTCTTTCTCGGTTACCTTCCGTGACACTCATGTAACGTAACATGACCTTTGGAGTCCAAAACAGCTAAAACAATAGCCTCCTCTTGTGAAGTGCTATATACAGTATGTGACTTAAACGTTCATAAAATAGCTGACAGTGGCTATAGCTTAAAGTCTGTGAACAGGTTAACAACTGCTAGCTTGCTAAGTGTCACCCTTTTTCTAAAAACAAAGGAAAATATGGGAGTAACTAAATGCACATTTTAACAATTTGCTTTCATTACTAGCTAAGAGACAAGGTTTTTACTAACGGCTCGGCTCCTGCACGAGTATATTGTTGTATTTAATTCATAGACGTTTTTCACCCACAGCGCCAACGTGTGATGCAATTACAGTCGTGTAACTTATTCAGAGACGTGCCAGTGAAATTTGACAGATCTTATACAAAAATCTCATAAAATAGGATTTGAAATTTCCCCACGGTATACAGTATGGAGTAGTCAGTTTTGCAACATCATCAAAATGCATACAGTTTAAGGCCGATCACACAGGAAGCAGTATGTTTTCCCGACTGAAGCTCTCCTCACTTAGAACGATCCAGGAACTGATCCAATAAAGAGGATGTAAAAGTCAACCGTTGTCTCTGGTTAAAACAAACAAACCTCTTGTGTTGCAGAATAGTAAGGGTGTGAAGAAGCAGCCCAGAAATGCATAATCAAAACACACAGCTTATGCTTTAAAAGCACATCTGTGCAATGAGTTAACAAGTGAGAAAACCTGCATCTTCGTTCATAAAAATAACTGTGAAATTACCATAATATCTACAAGCAGCAATTTTACTTACTTAATTTGCATTTTAGCGTGATTTCTTCAGTGATTTCTCTCTTTGGTGTAAATTTCAACATGAGACTTTTACATTTAGGCTGCTGCAGTAAGGATACTTCTTTCTATTCAAACCAGAAGCTGACACACACATTTTGGCTTTTCCTATATAATGGAAACAAGAGTTTGCCTTTGAGCAAGGCAATAAACCCAGCTCATTCCAGAGGTGTGGCTTGAAATGCCACTGTTCGAAGAATGTGTGAATGATTTAAGAAGAAACATTTATCCGTATAAATGAAAAATAATATCCACTCATAAATTACTCTATATTATCTCCAATGGTATCTCTTGCCCCTGAAAAGGCAAAGTTGTGTCCCACTTTACGGTTACAGTATATACAGTATGTCTTACACCCACTATTGAAAGTCATTTTACCGAAGGGCAACACATGTCTTTGAGTCATCAGTGCATGTCAGTCATCTGAGATGCATGACTTGTCCCCCTGAAACTAATAAAATAAAAATTTCCAATTTCAGATTTGAAATACTACCCTTGACATCTTTTAGTTAACTTCCAGTGCACCTGCATGCAGAGGTCGTTAAGAAAATACATTTTAAAAGTGGTGAAATATAGATGTAGATTATAAAGTTTTAAAGGAATTGTGTAAGACAAAATACTGAAAAGAGTTTCAATACTATGCATCATATTTACTCCAGTAATCATCCCAGCTAACTTGTCAGCTTTGTGGTTAATTATCTGTAGTAATTCCCCAAAAGACTGCATCTTGAATTTCAAAAATCCTGGAGAAAACATCTATTTATTATTATTATTAATTTCTGATCCTTGATCCTTGAAAGTTATCTGCAATAAAGCAAAAATACAGAATAAAATACTAAAGTTTCAACTTCAGTTGTGTGAGGCTGCAGAGCTGCAGAGCATCTCAGTGTGGAACAGTACCTTCTCCACTGGAGGGCAGTATAGGTTGTGTTGCTTCACTTAAAGCAAAACCACACCATGTATTTGGACATAAAATACAGATAAGGTCTGCCTGTACATTTAGAGTGGAGTTACTGGTCTCTTTGTTCTCTCGTCAGTGAATTGTATTTAGGTTTTTTTTTGCACTGTGCATCAGTACCTTTGACCCCGTACCAGTGACTCAATATTTAACATTTCACTTGTTTACCTGTTATCTGTTTGTTGTGCACTTTATTTTATATTATTTTATATTCTATTGTACATTTTAATATGTTTCTATTTCTTGCACTGTGTTGATTATTGTTGATTTTTTTAAATGTTATTGTTTAATTTTATTGTTTATTGTTAAATGTTTTGCACCACCCGCCATGACAAATTCCTTGTATAGGTGCAAACTTCCTTGGCAATAAACGGTTCTGGTTCTGATTCTGATGTATCCATGTCAGTGAATGACCTGTAGTTAGCTGACAAACAATGTCAAAACTACTTTCTCACAGTCTCAGTCTGTCTGTGTTAACTTCTCATTTTACTTTATTCATGAGCCCCACATGTTGTTGCTGCAATGTCTACGAACACAAACACTGATAATAAAGAGTGCAAAAACAGTTACAACTTGTATGCTTGTGACCTTTTGCCATTTTTTGCCATATCTCACAGGGCATTCCTGGAGGCGCGGTGTTTGTGGTGTGTTGGTGGTGTGTGTGTGGGGGGGGGCTTTGCTCTTTTTAGTAGAGGCGGCTGAAACAGCTCTCCTTAGGTTGAGAAGGGGGCTTTATCCCTCTCGAGGGCTGCAGGCTCTCGTCGAGTTGTTCTGTGAAGTGACCCGCACACTAAAGCAAAGTGGTGGAGGTGTCTTTACCGTGAGGGTGGCGAGGGCGGTGCTGCGCTCACATGTTCAGAGGTGGTGGTGATGGTGGGGGTGAAGAAGTTGACTCTGTGTGTGTGTGTGTGTGTGTGTGTGCAGGGGGGGAGGTATTTGGGTTGTAGTGGGTAGATATACTGTCTTGCAGCTGTGCGTGTGCTTGTCCATGTCTGAGTGAATAAGGGGAGGAAGGGGCAGCGAGGGATGGTTGGGGGGGGGAATTCAGGTTCAGAAGTGTTGAAGCATAAAATCTCTCTCTCACTCTATCTCCCCCCTCTGTTGCTGGGCCAGACGCAAAGCAACAGCAATTTGTGCGATTTCACAGCTCACCGGATCCCTAAAACTCTGACAGCCTTGCGCTGAGGTGGGGGGATAATGAGGGAAGGGATGGAGAGATGTAAGGAATGAGGAAGAGCGCAGAGATGGAGGGATGGAGCGGCGAAAGGCGATGAATGCAGGAGCGACAGTGGAAATTGAAGATGGACAGATTGGAAGGCGAGCGGGAGAGATGAGGAGCTGATGTGGAGCAGATGTTGCAAAGAACAGCGTCTCCAAAACATACAGGCATCATCTACATCCTGGCACTTTGTTCTGATGACCACAAGAAACAAACATACTGCTTCATTTGCTTCTGACACCATCTGCTCAGTGAGATATGTGACTTAATGACGTCTGTCTCTGACCAGGGAATTGAAGCATTTACAGCCTTTTATACAATGGCAATGGACTTGAGTCCGATTAGCCAACAGGTGTTATTAAAAATCATGCAACAGGCCCCCTAAAGCACAATACCGGTCAACAGTTATCAAACATTACAGGTATCAATAGTGCCTACACCTGGTTTTATGCACATTTTCAATTTGCGCATTAAAAAACCCTGAAATATTGAAATATTGCAAAAAGGTACAAGTGGGAAAGTGTATCAATAAAAGTAAACTGCGGTAAAGTGCAATGGAAACAGATTTAGTGAATTAATGATAACGTGAAGCATGTGACTTCAACATCCAGTGAAACATTTGCTCTGCTAAAGAGACAAAAAACACCGTCAGATTAAAACAGTCTCCTCTTCGCTCTACACACATCTGATGTACATTGTTTTTCACTTTTTTAAGTTACGACTGACGCTTTTTCGTCATCTTGTTGCACCCTCTTGTTCTGCAATGGTAGAATGGTATTTTTCCGACTGGAGAATTGGCGCCACCTACTGATTATCTCGATGAACCAACTCCTAATAATTACATAATAGTAATAGATGGAAAAAAATTAATAATTTGCAATTACTTTTGCCGATTCTGTCAAAATCGGTTAAACCATTTGGCTCAACTAAATGAAATGTTACTATGACTAAAATAAACTTTAACAAGCAGATAATGATTTGAACACAGCTTCTCTTTTTGCCTGAGGCACGCCTAGGAGGCACGCCTAGGAGGCACGCCTAGCCTAGGAGGCCATGGTATAAGCTGCCCCCAGTTTGTGACACTCATGTATTTCCATTACATTCGAATCACAGAGCTGAGCGTTCGTCTTTTTCCAAAAATAAATAAACACAAATGTTTTAAAAATTCAGAAGGTCGTTTAAAAACTAGACGGCAACAGATACTTAGAATCTTCTAACCATCAGCATGAAATAGCAATTGTAAAACACACACATGGC